ATGTGGAATTCCGTAGACAATACCCGCGCACAAGGTTTTCAACCGCAGTGTCCGATGGTGTGCGATATCGATCGACCGAGAGAATGAGGGAAAGAGAGAGATGTTTGTACAGATAGGTGGAGGTACACGTGATGGCACGCATAACCAGGGTACACAGATGGCAATGAATTCTCACTGAACCAAGGACCTGACCATGATTTCAGCGTGACAGCCATTTTGCAATGGGGCGCGTTGAAGATGATGCTGACATGTCACGGATCATAGAACAAATGTTGAGTGAAAAAGGCTTGACGTAGATGACACTGATCAAAGAAGATGATGACGTGCACGATGAAAAGGGACCGATGAAGTTTGATAATACGTAGGACTCACTGTAATTCAGATGTCATTCTCCTATCGATAATCACAGTCCACTGTCGAATGGCAAAATATCGAAGCGTTTTGATCGGCCGCAGTTAACACACTAAACTCCTCAACTTAACTATGATGTGACTCTGTGTTGTTGAGGAGTGAAGAGGGAAAAAGCCCAAAGGAGATGATCTCCACCCGATGGAGAGGTGCGTAACCGGGGTGGTGTTCGGAGTGAAACGAGGGGGTTACAATTTTAGCGTTGTGTAGCGATCACATTTGAACCTGCCTCCGTATTAGAAGCAAACCCGAAAGTCAGTGTGTATAGAGTGGTGGTTGTTGGCCAGTGGAGTATTAACAAACCGAGGAAAAGATACCAAAAATAATTTTCGGCGGTGAAGAAATAAATCGGGGAAGCTAACCGGCGGGGTTATACTCTCATTCGGCACTCGAGGGAGGCCCAGAAGAAGAAGAAGAAGTGACTGAGTGCGCGATGGTGGATTTGATAGTTTCGCGGTGAATTCAAATACAAGTGAATGATTGTCATATTCTATCTTGTGAAAATTGAGGATATGTCGAGAACAATACCAACAGTAGTATCAGTGGGTCGAATAATTTTTACAAAAACAAAAAAATTACTCGATAAAAAACAATAAGTGCAGTAAACGAAGAGTCAGAATTCGAAATAAAATGTTTTATAAAAATACTATCGGAGTTTGGAATGGTGTTTGATATAAAGGTAGCAATGGAGGATGGCATACTGTATCAAGCGAATAGTAGTTAGCAATGAAAAGAGCAGCTGCCTGCCTCTTGTAGGACTTACCTCCGCTGTTTTTAGAACTTCACTCCCAGAAGCGCGCAGCCCGTGCCGAGCCAAAACCAAAATACCACACCGATACGCTTTTTCCCCACACAACACCCCCCTTCTGAATCCAACAAATGCTCAAGCTTCCACAGCCCCGCTCGTAACGCTCTCATCAGCGCTCTCCCCCAGTGCTCTCACACACACTAATCTCCGCCTATAGTTTTCATACCCGAAGACGATGCGATCCAACAGCGAGACGAAGGCGGAGAGACAGAGTTTTAGGACAGTAATCGCCAACGCCTTCTTCTACGCTTCTCGACCAACTTCTTGAATTTTAAAGCGGCTTCATGCCAAAATTTCCACGTTAACAATCTTCAAATCCAACTCAAGACAATCCATTATCTAGAATTTCTCCTCTGAAATACCAAATGACAATCCCATAATTAACTCCATTAAGATTGAGAAAAAATATCTTGTATTTAAAGCCATTCCCCGAGAATCTACAACGTCTGATACTGTCACATCTGTATTCCCTCCTCATGTACAGAATTTTCACTACTGAGTTCATAAAAAATGACGAATGTACAGGGTACGGTGGAGCAAGTGGTGTTGAATATATACCTGCAAGTGTTGGTGAGGTCGAACTCCGATGATTGTAAACGTTTATCACAGGGTGGATTGTGTGATGGTTCATGGGTAATGTACCACTGAAGCCAAAGCCCTCTTGATATATGTCAAAGGAGGAGATGCGAAATGGCATATCGCAAAACGTTGCACATAAAGTCCAAATGCTCGGTTAACCCGAAACCGGGGGAAATGACTCTCATGAGGTATTCAACCGATGGTCTTGTATAAATTAACCCGTGCGATGGGACAATGGGTGGTGAATTTCAGTCGAGCTAAAGTGACGTAATTTAATTGGAACTGATCTATCCGGGCACCTCTTCCTCGGCGCAATGTATATGTAATTCACATATATATCCACTAATTTCTCGGAAATCTATAAAGCTTCAACTGTGGATGTAGGTACGGATGGCGGATTGATACTGTGCGCTGGAGGAGGATGAGGGATCGGCATATAACGGTGGAAGAATAACATGATGGATCAGTGGAAGGATGATATCTCGATGAATACTTAATCCCTAGCCATGCTCGATCTTGATGCACTTCGCTCCGAATACTTGGAAGTGCTCTTAAACGGGTTACCAGAGAATACGTCTCAAGAAGATGACTCCGAAATAGATGCAATTATTAAATCATACTGTTGCAGCGGATGAGGATAATGACGACTGGAATTTTGATCTCGTGGCATGACAATGTGAAAATTCCATTTTTGAAAGATCATTAAATTGCGGATGTACACGGAGAGAAATTTTTGATAAAAATTATCCTACCGTTCTATTAAAGTGTATCATGAGTCATCATTTCCTCATTTCTATCCCGAAATTTAATAAAAATTAACCCTAGTCTGGTCACCCTATGCGACCCAACGACTTTGGTCACGTCCGCGGGGAAGTGCCGCCGTGTTATTTAGGCCCGAACGTTGCCAAATTCACTCTACACTGCCCGGGCGCGTTCAGCGAGTTTCCGGCAACGTCGCGTAACAGGCAACTTTCATTCAACATGGGAAAAAATAATTCCTGTGAGAAAAAAATTGTTTTCTTCAGGAATTTCTAGAATTATGTTGTTCTGACACTACTCTAATTTTTTAGATACTTTAATTGGAAAAGTCAAATTTTTTTGAATTTTTCCGATCAGCCATTCAATGGCAATCCAAGAAAAACGACGGGCTGCGGCGTTTCCCTCATATGCTGACCAATCTAGGGTTAATATATGATGATCAAATTTTATTCAACGTTAGAGAAATTTTATCCTGACGCATAATAAATTTTACCCTTCCAGTCCAATAATTTTTATGTAGATAACAACGAAAATTCTAGAACGATTGGTAAATTTTACCCTACCGGTACAGTAATTTTTACTCTACTCGCCCGCCCGGTAATTTTTATTTTTAACAGGATAAAATTTCTCTAACGCAGAATAAAATTTGATCACCATATATTAATTTTTACTAAATTTCGGGACAGAAATGAAGAAACGATGACTCATGATACACTTTTATAGAACGGTAGAATAATTTTTATCAAAAATTTCTCTCCGTGTACAATGCTCTCGGATGTTGAGCTATATCAAGTCAGATGTAAAACATACAGTAGATTCGTGTCGAATGTTTCAATCGACATTCCTCCGAATATCGAAATTCTGAGCTTTAAATTCTTCCAGTACCTCCCGAAGCAAACAGGAAAGTTAAAACGACATGGTTGACTCGGGGATCGGCACGTGCCACTCGATAAATCTGTCGGCAGCTGACGGCGTACCGTGGCCGGCTGCTGCTGCTGCTTCCACAGTCTCATTTTCAACCCAAGAAGCAAAGCTAATGTACATGGCATTGGTTGGGACAAGTACAGCCCAGGAGGGCTCGTGTCCCCAGCCACGAAACGTAATTATCAATTTTCCTCATACAGGAGGCAATTTATGTGATGAGGGAACATGCTGCCTCAAAGGACATGTGACGATCCAGGAGGGCTACATGTCCCCTGGATGGATTACAACCCCGAACGATAGGCCGTTGTTGATTTCAGATAATTAGAGTGATTAGCCCCAACTCCGTGATCGATGCTTTAAATATTTGATGATTGAATGACGTGGGATCAGCGTTGATGTATTTTTCCCCCCCTCTCCTTGATTTCAACTACTGGGTCAATTCTCCCCCAATTTCAATGAGTTTCATTTGATGCACAGTGTGAAAGGGTCATACGGTGACACATTATTCTATCGACTTAACTTCAGATGTCATTCCAAAAATAAATCTGTACCAATATCATCTCTCCTGCATCTGAGTCCTCCTCTGTTCGAGAGAAGTATAGGTAAAGCTAATTGTAAATTCCGATGACGTCTGCTATCGGAGATGAGGTAAATTGGAATATGGACGGTAAGAAAATTTGATGATTCTTTGATGAGAATTAAATATCACTGGTGGAACAATTTTAAGGTATGAGATATCCCAGTTGGTAGCATCATTTATAAAAAATACATAACCCAATTTTGATGATACATAAAATGCTGTCCCAAAAATCACTTTTGTCCTTTGCAATTTGTTTGGGAACAACTGTTGTGACTAAATAATAAGCAGAAGCACCATAAATAGCATCTCGTAGAGATTTAACGTGATTCTATCGCCTTTCCGAAGTGTCATCCTTACAATACGATGCATTAGCCAACGATAAAAAATAAAGGAGCGAATAGAACGTGGGTAGAACAAAGAGGTCGAACGAGCGGTAACTGGATAACCGATGCATATTATATCGGAGTAAAAAAATCACCATCAGAAAAATAAAATACAGTCAAGAGAATAATCTAATTAAGCTCGATTTACCGTTCGAAGTGAGAAACAACTGAATATCTGACGTAGGAAGTCAGCATCGACGCATTATTGGTAACTCGTTGCCTACCGAGAGCCGCGTGTCCTATGACACGGCGAAAGCCAAACCTCTCTAAATTTAGATCATCTGGGGGCCGAGTTGAAGCAAGATAGTTTAACTGTTGAGAAGGAATTGGAGAGAGTAGGACAAATCTTGGGAGTTGGGGTGAGGCTGAGCAGGAGCAGCCGCCAGAAACCAGAGCACGTGCTCCCGGTGACGTGTGCCATATATCGTTTCATCCTCCTCTCCCTCATGCTCCTCGACTCTCTCCTTTTTCTTCGATTTCATACACTGCCAAAACATCCAACACCACACCTCCAGTCCCCCCGATCATTCTCTCTCTCTCTCTCTCTCTCTCTCCCTCTCTTTCACTCTCCTCAGCATAGTTACTCGCTAACTCGAACCCTTTCTGGTTCTGCCGCACACACGAGAGCTCGAAAAATCTATCAATTATCGTCGCAAGCTGCACAACTCAGTGCCTCCAGACGCCCCAGCTTCCTGACGAGAGAGAACGTTTGGAAATTTTCCCCCTCGGCTTGTTCCTGCACCTTGCGTATATACTTTTATAAACGACTCCAGCCACTCGAGTGTTTCACTTATCACAAATCTCTTCGAGTGCTGTACTACCGAACAAATTTTTCAGGGGTAGAGATAAAACAAATTTTATCTTCATTTTTTTTTCGTTCGTATCTTAATGACAGTGGCAAATGAATACCTTTGATGTCGGAGGGGGAGGGGGGGATCAGTTTAGCACAGAAATTGGTTTATCTGAGTCAGAAGTTCAAGGAAATCATGAATGATAATGTGACGTTGGGAAACAACGGTGATTCCCGATTCCAAAGTGAGCAGCTGAATTATTTGTCCATATGACTAAAAAATCTAGTTCAGAATCGTCAGATGTTCCAGTATTACGAAGGGATCCCACAAAATCATCTTATTGGTTGAACCTCATGAAGATCACCCTCGTCTCAAGTTTCACATGGCCCCCAAGTTAAGCATCACGCGTGTGGTGATAATGCAGTGTTGAAACAGGGAGACTGTCTTTCACAGGGACAGCATCAGCGGAGGAACCTTTTCCTCTCCCACGTGCTCTCTTATCCCCTGGACGTTCAGTGTGCCTCGGTAGGAGGCTGAAAAACACGTGTTACACTGAGATTCTCCATCGGGTTATGTACGCGTGGGGCTAGAGATACGAAACGATGAGGAATTCCTTCATCAATCATTCAAACCTGCTCTAACACGGATCGAAAACTCAAAATAATGATGTAATCGGCGCTAAATTGTAGTCCTCAGATGCTTTTGAAGGTAATAATTAATGAATTGATGAAATTATGAACTTGTCGTGCCCTCATCGAAGGGCTCTTCTTCGCACGGCGAAGCACATTGTCTCCGAGAACGGACACTGAGGCACGTTGTTTTGGTCAGTTTCTAAGGGGCGTAATAACTGTAAGTCACGTTTATGAATTGTTTAAATGATTTCAGGGAGAAAATTCGACTAAACCCACCGTTATGAAGGACACGAGAGGCTTTCAGGACAGGCTCATTGAAAAATATCTACGCAACATCAGCTGACGGAAGTCCCTCCTTTATCAAGTACTGCTGTCTCTATAATGACAGAGGAATTGCCATACACTGTTACGAGGATAGCATACGTAATTGTTTTGCCCTTATTTCAATCGATTATTCGCTGCCCTTCGACTCGCTCGAGACGTATATTGTCATCATTTTCTTTCATGTTTTTCATTCGTTATGTAAATTGTGGAGAATTAATTCTTATTTTTCGGAACAATACAAGATTTTTTGTTGGATGAACATTAAATTAGGATTCATTTACTCTTTGATGTTGACAACAAAATTCAGTAGCGAAGTGGTCAAACGGTTCAAGTCAATTTAGTCTTTAATTGAATTTTCCAGAAATATTTTCCCGAATTTAAGGGAGATAGCGAAATTTTCATAATAACCTTTTTTGTAAAGCGAATTGAGGGCTACTAAAAAGATTCTGAGAAAAATTTTCCTCTCTCCCTTAGATTTCGAGATATTCATTGAAAACTGGCCAATAGCCGAAATCGACTTAAACCGTTTGACCACTTAGTTACTGACTTATGTGAAAAAAAATTGCCAACCGAATTGACTGTCCCCAATGCTCCCAAATTTTCCGTATTTTTACGCTTCAATCTCTCTAATTTCCATTCATCAGCCCTAGAATATTAGAATTCCATCGCATCACTTGCGATGGCATCACTGAATAAAAGATGAAGCTCTCAATCCCCGTTCACCACCCAGAAGCCATGATAATAAATTGAACTATCTGAGGCACTGTAAGTTGTTCGCCTGATCGAGTGTAATACACGCAACATTCTCCACCTTCAGCTTTATTGTCGCACGCACATGACACCCCTTCCCCGGCTACCCGCCACAAACCCTATAAAGTGGTAAATAACACAGGGGCAGTGAGAAAGAGTGAGAGGGAGTACGCACGGGTCACAGGCGCCGGGTAACATCGACTTGTGTGCAGCCGTCGCCGGTGCGTATAAGCTTGAAATGTGACACCATCCTGTGTGCACGCGGCCGAGTCAGCCGGACGGGATGGGGATAAAACACAGGAGCGTTCAAGGCAAGAGAGAAAGAGTGCAAAACACCTCGCAATCTTGATGAAGTATGGACCGAGAGTCTGCTGGGGTTAGCGGGACGAAAAAAAAAATACAACATAAGAAAGGAAAGGGGGAGGGGGAGGGGGAGGGGAAGGGAGGAGATGGGGCTCGCACACAGCACCCTTGTTTGGTGGAGGAGGGCAAGGAGGTGTAGTGGAGGGCCTGGCAGCTGTTGGGTGCGTACGGCGTCGAACCTTTTAAGGCGCGATCCACTGGACGCCCGGCGTCGCAGCCTCCCCCACCCCCCTCTCATCATTCTCTGTTTCTTCTTCCTCCACGGCGTCTTGCCTACTCCCCCTTACCTCAGCCTTCATTACCGACAAGCGACGCCGAGCGTCTACGAAAAATCAGCCCTCTCTCACTCGATACGAGAGAGAACAACTATCGGACTAGATCCAAGCCAAGCGGCTAAGGAAAACATTTACGCTTTCTTGGTTTTTTTTCTCATTCGTTTGCGAGGGGAAATGAAAATTATGCGAGTCGATGGAGGTATTGAAAAAATAAAACGATTGGAGGATATTCAAAGGGGATATTGAGTGGGGGAGAGGCGGCAATTGAAAATTTATTATGTAATTTCTTCACTTTTCGGGATGTTTAGAATTATTTATGATAATGGAAAATTGAAAGAATTTTTCTATGGAAAAAAATTGAAGAAAATAGTTGATGAGGTGTGGTTCAGTGAATTCCCTCCAGAATTTCTCATTACGAAGTTTCAGTGTCAAAGCGGTTTGAGGGGATGTTGTGCAAGAGTTGGTAAGGGGAATGTAGGAGCAACAGGCTACAATCCACCCCCATTGAGGGAGCAAGAGTGTGGTTTGGTCGGCTCCAGTGGGGACTGGAAGGGAATACGAGAACCGATTGGGGGATGAGGCGAGCCCGTGTGTTGATGGGTTTAGTGCCCTTTGGGTTTGATGCCTCTGTTTGATCATGACAGAGTAATATCGTTAGAGCCCTTGTTGATTAATGCATCTCCATGATTTTGACACAATCCCCCCCCCCTCCCACCGTCCCCCTTCGATCCTCTACAATTACCAAAACGCAAATGTTTATCACGAGGTAAGTAACCTCGTCGGATTTGAATCCTCTCGACTTGAATTAGCCTCACGTGAGCACTAAAAATGCAGTCTCGTGTGATTCTAACAATATTTCTAGAACACAAATATATTTATACGCCTTCCGTACAAAAATAATTCTAGTTACTACTAAAAAAAAGGCCTCCAACGATTTAACTAACGATATATCTGTGTATGTCTGTGCATGCGAAAATAAAATACATTGGGTTGATCGAACAAGTGCCCTGCGTTTATCTATAGGCAGCCCGATGGCTGTGTGAAAGCCAAACAATATATAGTTGTATTGCTTCCTAGAGTCTAGACACCTAGAGCTCAAGAAGAGAGGGTATATTTATCGATTTCATTGAGCTACACTGGCTTTCCCTAAGATCCCGTTGAGGAGCCGTCATTGATCCACCTAGATTAAAAATTATTCCAATTTGGAAGTGCAACTTTGTTTGGATAATCACATCAGCAATTTTCATTGATTCATCAATGCTCGAAGAATTCTTCAATTACTTGAATGAAAACTTGCTCGTTCTTTTCTCACAGAATAGAATGAGCATCTTCCACACTCGTAAAAGAAAAATGAAACAGCAAAACGAAAAAGAATGTTTCAACATTAATTCTGAAGCGAGAGTGCCGGATGGAAAATTGATCAGAGAAATTTAAGAGAATTGTTTAAATTTCTATGCAGAGTTGCACTTGACTCGTCCTTGATATTGTAATTCCCTTTACTCCTTGACCACTTACATAACCCCTGGCATACAGCGGCGAAGGAGGGGGCAAGGGTAGTTAGCTTGGAAAATTCTCTGTACTCCTGTATGTGGGCTGATAATCCGTGGGTGGTTCCCGCCTATATCTCCACATCAACCCCCCCGCCTCCTTGGAGCTATCAGAGAGATGCGAACCGGTGAAGGCACAACACACAGGTAAAAACCCTTAACCCCCTGCGGGTGTGTGTGTGAGTGGAATAGGGGTCATAAGCAAGTGTTGAGCGCCCTGATACACACATACAGCCAGTGGGTTAGGGTTGGTACCTTTACCTCGTATATCTGGATGATCGTGCACGTCGTACAGGTAAAAGAAACGTTGCCATGGAAACGACCATGGCCACCCTCAATCAATACACGATGGGGTGTCGGTGTTGGTTCGGTGACGCAGGCTAAAGGCCCCCACGTGGTCCTATTGCCACGTGCAGGACCTCTTCAACTAAAACCCCCAACACTATATAGACATCACCTCTACGTGACTCAATTCACACCAGAATTTGTTGCTTTGTTGCCACCGTCCTCGATGCATTCAAATCATGTCAATGGATTTGTTCAAAATTTTTCATATTTTCTGGTTTTTCGAACTTCGCGATGTATTACTGTATTTTTGAATACTCTGTCAGGATTCTTTCTATTGAGTGCGGCTATATTTGCGTTATTCATTGGTCGGGTTTTTTTGTTGGGTTCTCAGTTCGGAAATCCTGTTGAAAAGGGTAACAACTCGATTTTCCAGATTTCATTATATAATATGGAAATAGATAAGGCATTTTTTGTTTCAGATTTCCATGAATCGATGCATTCAAATCGTGTCAATGAATTTATTCAAAATTTTTCATATTTTCTGGTTTATTCGAACTTTATGATGCAGCACTGCATTTTTTTATGTAATACTGTATTTTTAAATACTCAGTCAGGATTCTTCCTATTGAATGCGGCTATATTTACGTTATTCATTGGTAGGGTTTTTTATTGAGTTCTCGATTTGGAAATCCTGTTGAGAAGAGTAACACTCAATTTTCCGGATTTTATTAAATACTTTGGAAATAGATAAGGCATTTTTTATTCCAGATTTCTATGACTCGATGCATTCAAATCGTATCAATGGATTTATTCAAAATTTTTCGTATTTTCTGGTTTATTCGAACTTTATGATGCAGCACTGCATTTTTTTATGTAATACTGTATTTTTAAATACTCAGTCAGGATTCTTCCTATTGAATGCGGCTATATTTACGTTATTCATTGGTAGGGTTTTTTATTGAGTTCTCGATTTGGAAATCCTGTTGAGAAGAGTAACACTCAATTTTCCGGATTTTATTAAATACTTTGGAAATAGATAAGGCATTTTTTATTTCAGATTTCTATGACTCAATGCATTCAAATCATGTCAATGGATTTATTCAAAATTTTTCATATTTTCTGGTTTATTCGAACTTTTTGATGTCTCACTACATTTTGAATACTCAGTCAGTATTTTTTCTATTGAATGTTTCTATATTTGCGTTATTCATTGGTCGGGTTTTTTGTTGAGTTTTCGGTTCGGAAATCCTGTTGAAAAGAGTGCCAACTCGATTTTCCAGATTTCATTAAATAATGTGGAAATAGATAAGGCATTTTCTATTCCAGATTTCCACGACAAATTCTGGAATTTGTTGCTTTGTTGCCACCGTGTTCGATGCATTCAAATCATGTCAATGATTTTTTGCATTAAAATTTTTTCATATTTTCTGATTTACCCGAACTTTTAGATTTCATCAAATAATATGGAAATAAATAAGCCATTTTTTGTTTCGGATTCACATGAAAATTTCCGCATTCAAGTGCACAAGTGGTTCTCCTCAATGACAAGCATTAATGGACGACAGATTGATAATAATTCAAAGCAAGAATGAATTGTACTAGATAACACCAGAATTCCCTCCTGCAAAGGCAATATCAACCGTCGCTGATTGAAAATTATTGACGACTTCGAGAATACGGTGAACTTCAGACGTACTCGATATTTCATTGATGATAACACTGAATAAATTCTGATTTCCCCTAAAAAAACCGCCGGCACCTATAAATACCCGCAGATCGATCAATTTAGACAACAACAAAGTCAACTTAATGTTGGCACGAAAGAAAAGTTTCGATTCCGGAAACGTTTAGCCCAACGCAAAAGATCCCAAGTGTTTACAGAAAGACCTTGTCAAGTAAGAAGTCACAAGTACATAGAGATACTTCGAAGTGTGTAGAGCTGTCGTTTCTGTTGCGTTTTTTCATTCCAGTTAATAGAAAGAGTCAACGTTTAGGTCACATACGTTGGGTGAAAAATTTACCATAAAACCGAGGACCCACATTGAATATTTCTTTGTACGATGAGACGAGGTCGTGGTCAAAGTTAACCCCAACTATTTGTTGTCCCATCGAGATATATTTTTCAAATGTTTTCTACATTCCCTTTTCATACTGCTCTCATTGTCATTCTCTAGGTCCCCTGATACTCTCACAAGAAGTATTGTGCTATCTGTTGCGTAGGTCTAGGTTCCCGGAGATCAGATTTGCCGGATAACACCTGAGATATTGATGATGCCTTTACGTAACTAATAGTGTAGGTTTTTTTTTCCTCTTGGAGAATAATGAACAATTCTCATCAATGAATTGTAGGGATATTCTCGTGATTTTCGTACACTTTCGTGATTATCAATTTAATCCAATGACCTTTTAATCTCACGTTGATACTCACAAAATAATACTCGTACTCGTCATATGCTTCAGTCAATAATGTTAACGTAACCATGGCACGCAATATTTGTTTTTCACGTGTGTTTAACACGAATGATCTGTGAAAAATACACATTATTCTTTTGCACCTTCGGCGGCACTTAGCAGTATTTATTTTTTTCAATGCGTAATGATTTGAATTTATGGATGAAATTTTTATCTCAATGAATTCGGTAATTCGTGGAACTGAACAACATGAAATAGGATTTTTCATTTTCATTCTGTTGAAATGACGACGTCCAATGAATAATTTCCCACTAGTCAGTGCGACTTTGAGCTTGAAACAAACCGAGGTTATTCCCATCGTCTCCAGACACCGCTCATTACTCATTGTTTCGTCATCAATAGCATTACAAGGATTTATTACGCGCTCAAGTCGATGCTGATGCATGTCTTTCGTTTGCACAGCGATTTGAATTAAGTAAGAATAATAAATAGCGCAGTTCTCTGCTGTACCGATGCAGTTTTATCCATTTAAGAGGCATAATACAAAAATGCTCACGCGCAGATGGCGGTATCAGACGAGCAAGAGATCTTTCTACGAAGGAGAAGAGAAGACGAAACGCCAGGAGAACTTGTGGTATGCAGCTCATCCAGTGAGACGTATGCACGCGATTCTCTGCCCTTTTTTTTTCTCAATTCCCTCCTTTCATCCTTTTTGTAACGCTCTTTCTCCCCGTTGGATTTTATCTCCACGCGGACGAACGACGAAAAATACAACACTATGTACTTTGACTTACGAAAAAAGTCATCGACATCGTCGGTATTTAGAAACACAAACATTTGTTTACGCTCGTTATTATTCATCGGATAATTCTCCCGCTATCTACTATCAGAGATTATTCATGAATTCTTTCCCCGAGTGTTTTAACAAGCGAATGACTATTTCATAATGGATTTCATTTGTTTTATCACTGTTGTGATAAAAATGTAGATGCTCCCACTCGTCAATGAGGGAAAATTCTACAGTTTGAGGGAGTCGAGATGTTCATTATAAACTCGAATAATTAACAATGAAAAATGCTCTCCTTCGTTCGATGATCTCTCGATCACCCTGAATTAATGAGCGTTATGAAAAATCACGAAGCTGTAAAAATACTCGTTTTAATTTCCACCAAGGCGGAATAAAAATCATGCAATAACCTGCTGCAATATAATGTCCTTAACTTTTGGTACCAAATACAGTCAATGTCATATCCCCCCCCCTGCCCCATGTCTGCTGGAGAATGCAGAATGCATTCCAGAGTGAATATTAAAAAATGTATAATTAACAAATTAAATGTCGAAAGCATTCACATACTCACTCAACGTTTTTTCATCAGTAATATCGTTCGTATTCCCTCAGATTAAACTCCAAAAAAATAACCGGCACAATTCCCGCGGCGTCCACCAACACCACGGGACTCTCCTCTTCTTATTCCTCGTGTCCACTACTGTTCTGTCTCTCTCGGCAACTCAACACTGAACCACTTGACTCTATACCCCTCTCACTCAATCTTATTTATACTTTTCCTTCTCTGCAGATGAAAAAAATTAAAAAAAAGGGAACTCAGTACCACCACAGTCAAATCATTGAACGAGAGGCACCCATCATCGTTCTCCAACACAATCGACTTGCGATGATATCATTTGTAACGACACAATAATAACAGAAAAAAATAGAAATAAAAAAAAATGGAAAACAAAAATCCAGGGATAACGTGAAAACGTTGAACTAGAATATTAGACACATTTGGATAAAAGATACAACACTTGAACAGCTCCCTCGTTTACTTCTTATATATATTTTTCTTCTTTTTCGTTTGATCAAAACCACAATTTTCGTGACGTCATGCGGGCGCGGGCATGCGCAATCGTATTTTGGTGTTTTTCCATGTACAAAGTGAAAAATCTCGGTTTAATAGCCAACCCTCTCGTAACAACAATATCACACGTGCGATTTAGAATCGTTTCCCCTCTTATCACAATAATTTACGAAGTATTAGCACACTCGATTATCGCGTTTATCGAATTTCATCGGCAATGTTTAGATTGTTGAGATATTTTTTTAACGTTGTGAGTGGGTTATGGTACGTGATTGGTCGGTCCCTCATCTCTCAAAGACACACGTACCATTATCACGTCGAAGCGGTTAGGTCGCCAACAAAATACCGAGGGCGATTTTGCAGAAAACCACAACCGTGCGCCGACATCCATCCATCCACTCCCACTTGTTAAGTGACGTACACTGACGTCATCGATAGTTTACCTTGAGGCATGACATTGAGGAGCATAGCTGCCAATTCACGGTTACAAAAAACACCACTTGTTTGCGAATTTTGGTTTTATTTTGGCGCATGCTAATGAGACTGGAGGAGGCCCATTGTTTTTGCTTTTTTTTTCTCGAGGCGACTGGGCTCTTTGACTAGGGGGAATTTTTTGTGCTTGACAAAATGGAGGAGCTGGGGTATTGTGAATGATTACACAGGGTTTTTCCGACTGATTAGATCCTCGTGATTGGAGGTTATCACTGATGGAATTGTGATTACTGTTTTCGTTTCTTTGCAATCGGGTTTTTGAAGAATACGTGGAACCTAGTGACATCTGGATCGTCTGGGGACATAGTTTTTGTCACTAGGGGCTTTTTGTACCGCGTTGTCAATAAACATTGGGGAATTCTGGATAATTGTAAACATTGTGACAGAGTACCTCCAAAAACCGGATCTTTACTGCTGAAGGTGAATGGGTGAGGTTTTTCTGGGGGAGGGGGGGATTTGTTTTTCGGTGGATCGTGATGGGAATTGACAAATGAAAAGTGGAGAGAAAAACAATTGGAGTTTGGGGGAGACGTCAGTCAGAGGAATATTCGAGGATCAAGGGTCATCAGAGGGTAATAAATGTTGTGAATAAATTTCGTGTAGGTTGAATGTGTAAGTATTTTTTATAGATTTTTTTTGAGTAGAGAAAATGTCAGGAATTTGTTTCAAGTCATTCAATTAATTAGGCAGTCGTGCCTCTGGACCATTAATCATAATTGACATTAATATTCAATGAAATTTAGATGATGAATTGATTAGAGGATCAATTCATTCAATTTCAACCCATGAATTTTCCCCCAATGACGGATGAAAAATGCTCACTCAACGTCAGACATTCTTTTAGATTTTCTTTAATGAACATCTGAAGATGGCTTGCTTGGAAACAACTCCTCAGATGTACAGCAAGTGGTGGGAGAAGAAAAGCATAAAAGACAAAATTAAAATAAATAATGTGAATGCACAAAATGACACGACATTGAATGTGGTCAGTGATGGGCCCTCGGTGAATTCTCCTGAACTTGAGGAATTTAAGAAGAAAATTCTGGCATTGAAGAATCTTCTGGATCATGACCCTCATGCAGCTGATTTCAAGTGGTCTCTATTCGTTACTGCGTGCAATACTTATCGACACGACAGTTGTTTGAAGCCATTCCCCCCAGCTTATACTCAGAATGAATGCAAAGATGTGGAGAAACTGGTGAGAATAATCATAAATGGGCAAAGATACTTGTTTCAAAGACACGCTTCCAACAAAAAAATTAACACAAATATCTTCTCGTTTCTCTGTTCATCTTCAGAGAAAAGTTGTGGAAGGAATTCCACCACTGGCAATTGTGTATCAACGATTGGACGATCCTAAACTGTATGAGGACCACAAAGAAGCTATTGAATTGCTCTATTGGGTCTTGATAACCCTTCGCGATCCCTATCTTAAATCCACCAAGAAAGAAAATGTGAGTTGATTATTTCACTATGGACACTTTTTACTTTTATTCGTGTTTAATTTTCAATTAAATTAACGAATTAACTCATTTAACGAATTATTGTATCAAATATGAATTGCAAATGTTCACTTCCATTCACTTCTATTTCACCTGTTCACAAATTTATTATTGAAAACAACGAATTTTCATCCAGTACGAGACAATACTGAGCAGAGTGCCATCCGAAGTGATGGTTGCAAGGCCAAATTTAATATTCCAAGTGGCAACTCCAAATCAATCGTCCAAGGAGGATCGCTGGAAAGCATCGATAAAAGGTCATTCCACTTTTTACGCCTACCATGGAAGTAGATTGGAGAACTTTCATTCCATTATTCATTATGGTATTCAGCAACACATGAGCCAGGTAAACGAGTTCTTTAAATACCTGGTAATCTGTCAACACTCATGAATATTCATTCGACTCAGTTCAGCTCTCGAACGGCAATAAAATAATGCTGAAATTATATTTTCGATGAATTGAGGAAATGTCCAGAATTATCGATTTAATCGATTGGTTTTTCAGCCAGGGCTCTTTGGAGATGGCATTTACCTTTCCAGCGAACTTGGAGTCAGCTTGAGGTTCAGCCCTGTGGGGTACGGCTGGGGTGGAAGTATGCTGGGGAGTGAAATGAGTTGCATTGCATTATGCGAAGTTGTTAATCATCCAGACGTGAAAAAAGGAGACACTAGTAATTAGGCTTCTTAATTATTTCAAGAAACTTTTTTGTGGCTTAGCATGGGCTAATTGCATGTTTTTTTTGTTGCAGACGGTGATACCCCCAAGGGCTTTGCCATGTCCGTCAGGGATAAAATTCCGAATAAGTATTATTTAGTTCAGAACAGTGATTTGGTGAGAATTCGGTATCTCCTGGTCTACAGTCAAGACTTCTGTTCATTCAAGTAAGTAATATAACAGACAATAAACAATTTTTTTTATTATTCTTTTCAGTTGAAAATTAAAGGATTCTTAAGAAATGATTTTTTTCTCTGAAACTTGTTCATGTTGTTTTATAGAAAGACTGAGAGCACTGGACTCGTCGGCTGGTTCAAACAGAACAAGTTCCTAACATTTGTCCTTGGATATGTTGTGTTATTAGTCTCAGTTGGATTGAGTCAAAATAGAAGTGTGGAAAAATACTACAGATTTTTCATTCAAAAAGTTGGTCTCGACTAACTGATGTATTTATCATTTAGATGAATTTATCGCCAACGAAATTAGGCAGTTTTTTAAATATTTTATTTTTACGAATATTTTCATTACGAATGTCTTATACCGCGCGAGAAAATTATATAAAACGGATAATGTACATTTTTATACAAATGACCTTTGTGGATTTATTAGAATTTACAAATTCGTTAGCCACCGTTAGTGACGACCGAGGATTATGGGAAAATTTTCCGTTACAAGGTAGTCATCCTCGAAAACGACGATCAGGTTCACTTCAAATTCTGAAATGAGAAATTGTGTCCATGAATTTATTTTTATATTGTTGAATTTCAGGCACTTTTATCATTTCTCAAAATGATAATATTAAGTTTTCAATCATTATCATTGAAGTTTAGGTAATTCACTGATATTTTAATACCAAAATCGTAACGTTTCAAGAATTTTTAATTTAAATGTTCTACCATTGAGTCTTACCAATTTTGAAGTTACTGGTGCTCAACGTCGGACAGGTGAATAATCTCGGAAATATCATGTAAATAGGTACGGGTAAACCAATGCAAACATTCCCCTCGCCGATCTGTATATTCTGGATTTCGGTTGCTGTGAATAATAAAAATGACCTCATGTTTTCAATAAAAAAACCGTCATTTAATGGAAGAAACCCTCACCATCCCTGGAGTATCCCTCAGCACATCCACAGGTCTCCACCCTCACCAGTTGCAGTTCAATGGACTTGATCGTTGTCTCACAACGTTCAATAACCACCTCTCCAGTGAGTGGCTCAGAGAGTTTGCAAATAACCGAATTAATCTTGCCAGTGATGCAGAAACGAGGAACATTGGCTCGATCTCTGATATTCTGCAGTGACTCTGGCATTATCTTGAAGTTGACTGTTTTACTCGACACTGGAATCTCCTTGGGCAGTCCCAGTTTGTTCTCCACCATGAATTCTAGGGACTTGCTGACGTCCTTGGCAAGGAAACTTCGTTTTATGTCGCATCGTATGACGTACTGAATATTAACGAAAACTCCGTGATAAGTTTCGTGTAGAGTTCTCGATCCACGAGGCTTCAGGGGCAGTTCAAAGGGGATTTCTGTTTTTCCACTGGGAATCTTTCCTGCCGGAGCTACTGCTAGAGTATATTGCACCAATTGTATGGGCTATAATTTTAAAGAAATTAACGAAATCAATGAGGGGACGGTGAGACATTTTTATTTAACAATTCACCACATTATTAACATCGCAAAAAATGCAAGTTTTCATTTTATCCCACTTGCGCTGACCCATCTTTAGAAATCAGTAGCGAAGTGGTAAAACGGTATAGGTAAGTCAATTTTGACTATTGACCAGTTTTCAATCAATATCTCGGAATCTAAGGGAGATAGCAAAATTTTTGTTCCAACCTTTTTTGTGGAGCCAATTGAGTGCTACAACAAATGTAATTACGAAAATTTCGCCATCTCCCTTGGATTCGGAAATATTTCTCAAAAACTGAACTGGGAGATAAGTCGACTTAAATCCTTTTACCACTTCGCTGCCGGAATTAATTTTGAGGAATTAGAAATTTATGAGGTCTATACCTTCACTGAGTTATAAAAAGCTTCAAAAATCCCGACATTTTTAGAACTCAACTGCAAATTGACTGATCCCTCCATCGTGAGGGAAATTCCATCGTGTTTGACCTCAGAACTCGTTTGGAGCAGAAGTAATCCAGCCACTGTTTCCTTGAATAACCTATTTGTCACTTTATCTGCAATATTTCTGTATCATCTTCGAAAATATTAAAATACTCACCCCTTCGTGGTAGATCTTACTCGCTCGCTTCAGCCTCACGTCTAAATTGATCGACATTTTTACCTAATTTTCTAATTTCATTAAACAAAGTGGAGATAGAAACAGCGTTTGACAGTTGCCTACGCCATTACAAAACACACCTGATTCTCCTCTTCTTCCCTTCGTCAATCAGTAAAAAATCTGATTATCATTCCAGTTCTCTTTCCATCACTGGAAAATTCCTGAATTTTTAAATAACACTGATTAGTAAATTATTATGATTGGATTTACGGGTTCCAGTGAACAACTGAGCAGCAAAAAACAATTTAACAATTGAAATCCCCGCGGAGAAGCCGCCAATCACTTGTCACCAATCCTCTCACGCCCTGAAGTTGCATCCGCCCTGTAGATGGCGGAAAAAACATCCGGCAGTTGTCCAATCACCAGTCAACTGCATTCATAAGGGCCAAACAAATTCAAATCGACGGAGTCGTTATTGGGATCGACAACGCTGTTCTGTTCAGAGCATTCGGTGGAGAGAGAGATCCCGACTCGACAAGAAAACGTTATCAGATATTCTGATTGCTCAGTGATTTGTGATTAGTAAATTAGAGGAAAAATAATTGACGATGGCGTTGAGAAATCGGGCGGCGTTTGCGGTAAGTCGATTGAAATATTTTGCAGGGAATTTTTTGGGTCTCGTGAGGGGAGTCGAACGGACGGAAAACGGTTGCTGGGGAGGCCAGTGGGGATGGTGTAACCGTCAAGGCGTTTAAATGCCCAGGCTTCTTTAAAGCCCATCGTATCGAACATCTCCGATGCCATCCCACTACTCAAATATTTTAATTGGTTTTTTCATATTTATTAAAAATAATTCAGTGTGAAAAATGGGGAAATTGAATGAGTACTTGGGAATTTTTTTCATTTCGTTTTTTAATTCCTGGAAGAGGAACGTGCTGAATGTGCGAGCGTCGTCGCCAGCGATTTTATTTTTCCTCGAGAAAAGGGAAATTGTGCTCTTTCTCTAGAATCCCAATTCCATGGGAAGGCTGGGGCATTTCTACCTGAAGCCGAAGGACGTTGTCTGTTTATAATTTTTTTTCTCCTCGTGTTTACCTCATTCCTATTCATTTCTCTTGGGACACTCTAGCATACAAAAGGAAATATTCGGGAGAGAAAGAGAGAGAGAGGGTATTGAAGGTGAAAATGAAATTCGAGATAATAGTCTCACCTCGTGCACGCGTATCCAAATTTACGGTATATAAGGGACAGGAAAAAGTTACTCTTTCTTCGTCTACCCTTAGATTATATTGGACAATATGCACACAAATTTATTTTTATATTGTTTGATCGAATTTAGAAGAAAATTGGGATAATGGACATTTCCATTTTTTTTAGCTTTGCAAATTAGTGAACTGATTATGAAATAAAATTTTGTCTCGTGCACGTTTTTTTAATTCTACAGGATATCAGAGTCTGAAAACAGTTTGTTTTTCCTCCAAAATTATTAGATCGGTCGAAAAATGTCAGAGACCTTCCACCTGGCTAAACAGATCGGGAAGGATATCTTCTGAAATGTTTTTTTTAGCATAAAAAAATAATTTCTTCCCCTCTTTGTAATCTGTTCGGGCTGCATTCAATTCAGTGACGAAGAGATAAAGTGGTACAAGTCAATTTTGACTATTGACCAGTTTTCAATGAATATCTCTGAATCTAAGGGAGATGGCTAAATTTTTGTTGTAAACTTTTTTGTAGAGCCGGTTGAGAGCTACAACAAATGTAATTACGAAAATTTCGCTATCTCCCTTAGATTCCGAAATATTCCTCAAAAACTCAACTGGAAGATAAGTCGACTTAAACCGTTTTACCACTTCGCTACTGAATTTATGAATTTATTTCTGACTTATGTATATTAATAAAAAATCAGGGATTCGTTCGATCGACTCAACGGGGCCGAAATTAATTAGGGAATAAAAATAATTACAGAACATTGGGAACCAAGAGAACACAAAGAACGTTAAATCTGCGGCAAATGCAGTCCCTGGACAAACGAGGCGTGCCGCCCTCGGCGAAATAGGTAACAGAGTTAACACTGTTCGTGGTACGTCGAATCTGCTGCCCAAGGCACAGAAGAAGCCAGTGGTCAAGCAAGAGCCATCAATAAAAAGTGATAAACCAGTTGAGAAGCCACCAGTACAAGTTGTCAAGGCAGTGCAGAAGAAAGAGATTGCACAGCCCATTGAGGTGAAGCAGCTCGAGCAAAAATTAACACTACACGATGAACCCAAGATAAAAATTGATGCATTCTCAGCTGATCTCTTGCACATCGAGGACATTGACGAGGCAGACAAGGGAAATCCAATTCTAGTCACAGCCTACAGTAATGATATTTATAAGTATTTGATGGAACTCGAGAGAGATTTTCCGATACAGTCGGGATATTTGGCTGGGCAGGAGGTCACACCGAAGATGCGAAGTGTTCTCATTGATTGGCTTGTTGAGGTACATCAGCAGTTTCATTTACTCCAGGAGACGCTGTACCTCACTGTTGCCGTTATCGACAGATTTTTACAAGTGAGACTTCAATTATTCTCTCAACCATCAATGAATTTATCATAATTTATCGTAATTAACAATATTGCAATTTCTTCCAGTCATTCAAGTCAATCAATCGACGACGACTCCAGCTCGTGGGGGTAGCTGCAATGTTCATATCGTGCAAATACGAAGAGATGTTCGCACCCGACATCGGTGACTTTGTATACATTACTGATAATGCCTACACAAAGACTGAAATACTGCAGATGGAATTGTTGATTGTTAAAACACTGGATTATTCCTTTGGACGACCACTTCCCCTGCATTTCCTGAGACGATACAGCAAAGCTGGACGTGTAAATATGCAACACTAGATCAAGTCTAGCATCAGTTGATTAATCTCAATAATAAATAAATCATGCTTTGTATTTTGTTCCAGGCCCTTCCAGTGCACCACACGATGGCCAAGTACTTCTTGGAACAGAGCCTGGTGCACTATGAGATGTGCCATTATCCACCAAGTCTTATTGCAGCAGCTGCTATTTATCTTGCCTTCTTGTGAGTGCAGCTATGTGAATTTAAAAAAAAATTTAATAATTAAATTTTTTTTTTAATGTTTCGAACGCCTGAATAATTTTCAACATTTGTTTATTTTTCAGTGTCATTGGCAATGATGACGAGAGTGGCAAAGTAATCTGGAGCAATACTCTGGCGTACCACAGTACGTACAAAAAGGAAGATCTACTGCCAGTTGTTCGTGCAATTGCCACGATAATAGTCAACGCTGACAAGAGCAAGTATCAGGCTGTGAGGAAGAAGTACGTGAGTAACAAACACATGAAGATCAGTCTACGTCCAGAGCTCAAGTCACCCAGCCTCCAGCTGCTGGCCAACTCCCAGTGAACCTCGAGTGACTTCAAATATCTGTAATATAGGGGAAGTTTATGTTTTTTGACTGAAAAAAAGATAAGACATTTTATCTGGGTTATTGAGGTTGGGTAAATCTGTTTGTTCAATGTCGAACGCTAGTCTCCACCCACTGGAGACAATAATTCTCGCGATCGGAGCTATGAGAGACTGTTTGATAAACGAATGAGATCCTTTTTTATACGAACGACATTTGACAATTTGCTAGTGAAACTTTTCCTGTTCAATTGGATGCTATTTCTCACACGGTAGACATTGCTTAAGACATGAGAATGGAAAAAATATTTTGATTCACTAAACTGTCGGAAGAAATTTTCGACAGTCAAATCATTTTTTTATTATTCTAATTTTAATGCTTCAGTAAATCCGAGTATAGAGCATCCATTTTTTTAGTGATATATATTATATTTTAGCCCCTATTTCAGAATACATATAACACTATACACTGCCAGATTGTTTGTTTTTTTTATAAGACTTAGTGTCAATACTTGTCTGTTTTCACCTTTGATACACGATATTCAATGTTGAACTGACGCTACAATGAACAATTTTTTTTATTGATGACTCGAAACACTTCAAAAGCAATCAATTGCATCTCTAATAACTTTGCAGCCCATTTTTTGACACTAAAATCAGCAACTACTCCGGTGTATGTTGATAACTCGGCTATTGAATTAAATTAGACGCAAATATTGCATGATCATTTCACAATATATCTCTTATATATAAGCGTTTTATTGATTGAATAATTATAGAAATAAGAAAATAATAAAATTGGCACAGTGTCTGAGATACCAGCGGAGAAATGCACTTGTAAATACAATCACTTTCGTAAGCTGCACCTTATGACATCTTTTATTGAAAAAAAACTATACTATTAATATAAGTCCAAACTTTCGGCAGAAACATAGAAGAAAAAGCTATTGTAATATATCAATAACAAATAGAAGAAGAACATTGAAATGAAAGCGCCGGACGATTAAAAAAAAATTCTGAAAGTTAATATAAATAAAAAAAACATCCTAGGCGATAAATAAACTAAAAAATCCATACTTTACCTGTAAATAAAAATTGCGATTATGTGCGATAAATTTTTGGATTAAAAAAAATCAGTATGTAAGTCTAAAAAAGAATATTTATTAGCCATACTCATCGATATTTACAATTTAGGTGTGCGTTTAACTGGTGAAAAAACATCTAGTTTCCAATTGACAGAAGAGACTTCAGGTGCATACGTGAATTTGGATTCGAGTAGTTTCTGGGGGTTCATCCTCCGGTGCCCATTGACCCTGCTCTCCACCTCCTCATTGTCACGTCTCGGCCAGATCTCGTCCCTATTTTTCTCGATGACCTCAATCATATCAACAAGTGCATGCTGCAGTTTCTCAGCCATTTCATCAAGATACAAATTGAGTAAAACTCGGTTCACAGCGACGACCTCCTCCCTCTGTTCATAAGTATCAGAAATGATAGTATGGAGGGCACGAACGAGTGCCAGATCTTCGTATACACTCCCTTCTTTGATGCTCAGCACCTTCTTCTCCTGCTTTCTCCGATTTTTACTCGACCTGTAGCTCCTTCCCGAGCTCCTCGAGCTTCCAGAACTGAGGCTGGTGTTGGACCCAGCGAGGCTGCTGGTGTCACTCAGTAAATCACTGATCTCCCCCCCAGCGCCGTCCTCCTCCTCAGCGAAAGCCTCTTCGGCCTCCCTCCTGGCAATTTCACTCCTCACAATTAGCAATCGTTTTTTGTACTTCAAAAACTCTTCCCTATTCTCCGATATCTTGGACAGCAGCCATGCAGCGTGCTCCTCCACCCCTGGCTTCACCTCCGTCTCAATTAAGTCCAATCTGCCATACGTATGCGCTATTCTCGATGCCTCCCTCCACTCTTTACCTCTACACATCAACGAAACAGCATCCTCCTCGGATTTGAGGTACGCCAATGATATTTCCGCAGCATCACGAAATCGTCTGTCCTCAATCATCTGACGCACAAGAATCTTATACATTTTGTTCTTCTCACCAGGATTCAAATCCATCTCAGTGGTAATGATAATGGCATCCTGCCAACTGCCGGATATTTTGTAAAACTCAAAGGCACGCTCCAGGTTGCCACTGCGATGGTACATCAACGCAGCCTCGCGATACTTTTTGTTCCTCCAAAAGTATTCACCAGCTATTCCCGTCACTTTTCTGTACTCGTATGTGTCCCTCGGGAATATCTTCACAGCTTTCACGAAGAGATTGTGGTTCACTATCAAGTCAACACACTCGTCGAATTTGTCCAGACGGTGGGCTATGTGCTCCAGGGCTGCTTCGTATCTCTTCAGGTCCTTATTGATCTTGAATTTTCGGTAGTGCTCCTCCAGTTCAGCGAGGTTGTTTAGGTAGGGGATGTACTCTTTTGGGTCCTTCTGGGACTTTGAAGCCACGAATTTGGCCAGATCGAGGTCGTACATACCCAGGGCTATGTCGTAGAGAACGTTGATGTCCACCAGGTACTGGAGGTACTTCAGAGCCTCGTCTGCTGACTGCTGACGACCCTCTTTCGTGCCCTCCTTTGATTTGAATTCTTTCACTTTCTGGAGAGCTGCCTCCAGCCCTGATACTTGCTTGTTCTTCACTAGGCACGTGAGGATCGGCTGCACTAGATTTCTCTTGTCCGCTTTCTTCTCCATAATCTGTCGCAGATGCTGACAGATTCTCTCCACTTTACGACCGTCTGGCTTCTCGAACTCGTCTCTCCTAGCTGCATTCTCCTCTTTCGTGTAACAATTTCGGTAAATCGTGTCGGTTACGTCTTCCTCGACCAACTCGGAGATGAAGTAATTCAGCCAGCAGGGGTTTTTAATGTCGTCTATGAACTTCTCGGCGGTGGACATGAACACTCGAGGGTTGTGGTCGTGGATCAGATTCAGATTTATTCGTTGTTTTCTCATTATGTCGAAGACGGTGAAGTAGTTGAGGGAAACCAGATGGGTTTTGATTATGTGGAGGGACATGGAACGGGGCTGAACGGTCTCGAGGTTTCCTCTGGGCATCTGGAGAATTGCCCTGTCGTCCTTACGCATCGCGTTCACTAGACTCCCACCTCGTTCCATTCTTCTTAAACTTAATCCTTGAAAATAAAAAAAAGAAGAGGGTTAATTATGTTTTTTTACGAAATGACTGAACATTTTACGTATTATTATATTTGACTTGAGATTATCATTTTGATAATGAGTGGTTTGAGGGCAAAATGTCAGAAAGTATGAAATTATTTTGATAATAAGCGATTTTAGAGAAAATTTCTGTGAGGTACTGAATTCATGGTAATTGCAAAAAAAGCAGAAAACATGATTTTGTGAATAATGGTGGCAATGAATTACCTGTGCTGTCGTCAATATCAGTCCCCCATGATTTAATCGACAACGTCGATGTCGAAAATTTCGAAAAGCCAAGCTCATTCATCTTGACCGTTACCAATGTGTGCTGCAGAGTTGTCAGCAGAAGAAATTCCGAATGAACGCAAATGCTGGTAACGTTATTAGCGACTTCTGCGCCGTCAAGGAAGAGACTGTTTCTGCTACCAAGTGCGACAAGTACGTGTCGCATACCGATCCTAACGGCCTCGACGTGGTCACACAGTTCTGGTAAAATTATTTCAGTTGGTGTGATACCCTCACCGTGGGTGTATTTCAACACACCACTGTCCAAGATCAGATATGCTTCGTTTGGATCGGTTGTGGGGACGATATGATGTATATAGCCGTCCATCATCAAAGCATCACTGTTGACCAACAATCGAGGTATTCAAAAGAGTCAATTAAGAATACAGTTGGAGTGGAAATTTTATGCTGTTCAATTGAGTGGATTGAGGAAGTAAATTACTACCTTGAGGCTCGCAAAATGACTGATCGACACATTACTGAATAAAAAATTGAATAATTAATTCTGAAATTTCGAATTAGATGTCGTCTTCCTTTTATCATTCAGATGCCAATTGCAAAACGTAAGAAAAAGGGAATTTCTTTCGCAGCACATTCTCGAATATACAATTACCTGACAACGAGTCTTCCAGTCCCTCTCTCCACATCCAGTTCCTCCATCTGAACGACGCAAAGGTAACTTCGTCCTTCGACAGCAGCAGAGCATAAAATTAGATCGCCCTTCAACCACACAAAATGATGCATAGTATATCCCAAACTCTTGTCCACAATCCTCGGAACCTGCCACTCCAAGTCAAACGTCTTGGCATGCCTGTACCCCAACAAGCCCTCCTGGGAAATGACGAGTTAATCAATTGGCATGGACTCATGATTATGAGAAAATAAAATGCAATATTCACCTCTTGATGCACATACAGTGCCAATTGATTATTCTCCACGTGTACGAATAGACAATTGGAATCAAGCCAGTGGAGAGTATCTTTGCAACAAAGTGGTGCGAAAAAACAGCCATTAGTAGTTCCACTAATCTGAAGTGAGTAATGTGACATGGGGGGTGGCACGATGCCCACTTTGAAAGCAGTCAGGAGGACTTTATCACCGTCAGCAACACCCACGACAGCTTTATCATCATCAGAAAGTCCACGAGTGCGATCGATTGACCATCTGAATGTGTAAACCATAAAGTTGTCCCTCGTCAGGACAATGAGACGTTTTTTAGCCCGAGGAATTGTGCTCCAGGTGAAGAATACCAAAGGGTTCTCCTCCTTGAAAGGAATTGTCTGCTTCAGGTACCAGTGGTAATTATTTTCAGTCCACAGCTGCAGAAATGTCTCCTTCTGATCGTACTTCTGTCCCCAGATGGTCAAAATCTCCGAGTCTGGTGACCACGTGATTTTCTTCACGTGAATCTCGTTGGGCAGGAATGGAAGAGAGAACTCTCGATGCTTGAGACCATTTTTCTCGAAAAGCGCTGTGACGTGTTTGTTGGGAAGTCTTTGTGTGGATGCCAGTAAATTACCAGATGGCTTCCATGACAGGTTCTCTTCTAAGCCACTCGTCAATTCGCTCGTCCACTGGAGTACACCCTCACGGTTGAACACTTTGAAGTGCCTCGCATTGTCTGACTGATTCAGAAAAGTCACAGCGAATAGGGTACCGTCACCACGCCACGTTACTGAGACCGCACCAGTGTCATTCTCAGTTTTACCTATTATTACTGGCTTTGCTTTCGCTGCTGCTTTACCCTCGGTGCCATGGAACTGGGTCTCCTTGGCTCCCCATCCAGCTGTGATGAATTGTTTCTCTCCGAATTGGTCGTTGGTCAAATTTACCTGATCAATTGAAGGGGGGAATTATTAACATTAGGAATAATTGCTTCAATTTCCATTTAATAAATGGGAATAGATGTTAAATGTTAAATTTATTCAATAATTGATAAATCTCCCGAAGCAATAGATCTGCATTTTCTTGTATTTCTCTCTAATGTTTTTATTTCTCTCAACAAATTTATTTCTAGTCTGCATGCAACATTCTTGAAATTGCTAATGCATTTGATTTACAAATTTACCCGATGAATTGAAGAAGGGAAAACATTAACATTATTGCTTCAATTTCTGTTTAATAAATGGGAATAGATGTTAAAATTTATTCAATAATTAATAAATGTCCCTAAGGAATATATCTGCATTTTCTTGTACTTCTCTCTAATGTTTTTATCTCTTTTAACAAATGTATTTCTATTCTGCAAGCACCATTCTTGAAATTGTTAATTCATTTGATTTACAAATTTACCTAATTAATTGAAGGAGGGAAAATATTAACATTAGGAATAATTGCTTCAATTTCTATTTAATAAATGGGAATAGATGTTAAAATTTATTCAATAATTAATAAATGTCCCTAAGGAATATATCTGCATTTTCTTGTACTTCTCTCTAATGTTTTTATCTCTTTTAACAAATGTATTTCTATTCTGCAAGCACCATTCTTGAAATTGTTAATTCATTTGATTTACAAATTTACCTAATTAATTGAAGGAGGGAAAATATTAACATTAGGAATAATTGCTTCAATTTCTATTTAATAAATGGGAATAGATGTTAAAATTTATTCAATAATTAATAAATGTCCCTAAGGAATATATCTGCATTTTCTTGTACTTCTCTCTAATGTTTTTATCTCTTTTAACAAATGTATTTCTATTCTGCAAGCACCATTCTTGAAATTGTTAATTCATTTGATTTACAAATTTACCTAATTAATTGAAGGAGGGAAAATATTAACATTAGGAATAATTGCTTCAATTTCTATTTAATAAATGGGAATAGATGTTAAAATTTATTCAATAATTAATAAATGTCCCTAAGGAATATATCTGCATTTTCTTGTACTTCTCTCTAATGTTTTTACCTCTTTTAACAAATGTATTTCTAGTCTGCATGCGACATTCTTGAAATTGCTCATTCATTTGATTTACATTTCGATATTTTAATTTAACATGTAGCATAGAACCCCCCAAAATAAACCAAAATCTATTTCTGTAAAATTTCAAACTGTCTCACCTTGGATAACACTTGGAGATTGGACATCATAGTCGTGACATTGTCACTCCCAGTCACCAAGACGAGTATTTCCTGGTCTGGGCTCAATTTAATGCATTTAATTCCCTCTTCGATATTCGCGACGACTTCCTGATCGAATGGCCACTCTGGGGTGACTTTGACGAATTCCCCTGACGAGTAGGCACAGTACAAGACTCCATTGTCACTCCAGTACTCCACTCCAACCGGTCTGGAGTCGCACTGGACATCAATGTTTTTTTCAATCGCAATTTCAATTTTTTGTTTGCAACTGATGACAAAGAGGTGATTCCCCTCGAGTACGAAGATAGTGTCACTGTCAGGGTCATTGTTGCAGATGAATTGTTTATCGAGAGCCTCCAGGAGTTCTGGACATCCAGCCTCTGCCTCCCTCAAGCCTCTGATGCTGTGATACAGAACAACTAGATTCCTCATTTTACAGTCTCTTGGATGAAAAAAAAGGAAAAGGGGAATCAGGAAAACGAGGAAGAATTCTTCATTAGTTTTTCAACGAAAATTGAAAGTGACAGGTGAATTTGGCTCCAAAACACTCCTACGATAGGTTACAAACACGTGGCCACTCCAAAAACACACGTCGATAATCGAGAGATTGCACTTACCCACAGGAATAGCAAAATCGACGGTAGAGACACGAATTTTTGTCGACTATCTGTCAGAGGGGAGCTGCAACCACTTTCACATATGTTCAACACCAGTGTCTTTATAGCCCCTTTTGATCAGTCTAGTCCAAACAATGGCGGCCTCGGTGGACGAGCAAATTTCAGTTGATATGAGCGATGATAAAGAACCCCAGTAAGTCCCAATAACTCGCACTCATTGCAATTTTAACTCAAAAATCACATCTCTTTTCCATTTATTTATTCATCCATTGTAGTAACGATGAAATACGTTATCGAAAATTAACCTTTTTGGTTCTGTCATTGTATCAGTAATTATTGCCCTGAATTATCATTTATTTTCTTCCTGCAGGTTCGAACAAGCCACTTTCAACTGGTTGGATATCACTCATGAATTCTTTGATGCCATAACAGGTTCGTAGAGCACCAGATCAATCTCGAGTTATTCATAAAAATTGTGTAATTGTACGTGAGAGTTTAAATTTTTCGGTTGAAGGACAGTGGGACATTTTTTCAAAGTCATTGGGCAACTGTCTCCATCAATTCGCAATTGAGTGGTTATTGAAGTCATGAGAAATACTATTTCTGTCGAAAAATGCCATTTCTCTGCTCCGAACTATTTTCATATTCACATTTTTTCCACAGATCTTGAGCTTGGTGAACTACTCCACGATGAATTATTCGGTCTCTTCGAGGCAATGTCTGCAATTGAGATGATGGATCCAAAAATGGACGCTGGAATGCTGTGCAATCGTGGGAGTAATAAACCCTACACGTTTGATCAAGCTGTCGAGTCTGGCTCCATTCGTCTCGATAATCTGACCCCATCAGAAGTCATTGGTATCATTGACTCCACTTATGCCTGCATTGTATCGTGGCTAGAGGGTCACAGTCTGGCCCAAACTGTCTTCACTAACCTCTATTTACATCAGCCTGGACAAATTGTTGATAAACCACTGAAGACATTTTGTTACGCAGTTTATAAAATTATTGAAGTTATCAAAGATGCTATTAATAGAGCTATGGTATTCGAGGAGGAGGATTTTCAGAGTGTTACCTATGGCTACAGACTCCAGCAGGATATCACTGAGCAGAAAACAGTTTCGATGCTCAAGGAGGTGGAGGAGGACCTGCATAGGAAGAGTAGAATTAAACCTGTTAATGAAGAAACTGAGAGAGAGGTAAATTAATAGGGGAGGTTCGGGTGAAACGGACACTTTTGACTTTTTTAAAAATGTTAATGAGGGGTTGATGGGGGGTTCATGTTGATGAAATTTGACACTTTTTTCAATACAAAGCACAGTTCTTTCTATTTGTGACGAGCCTAAACTGAGCTCAATTGATGAATTTTTTTCTGAGTTATGAACAATTTTAGAAAAGTCTAAAGTGTCCATTTTACCCCACCGTCCCCTAATGAATAAATGAAAGTTTAAAGTTGAATATTCTTTGCTTAAGAAATGCTATTCTATGACATAAATTTTTTTTTCAGTATAATGATGGTCTCGCTTTGTATGCCCGAATAAGATTCACGAAGATGTTCTACCAGACAGTCTCCTTGATGGGAAAGAAGGAGAATCCCTCGCAGAACCTCATAGAGTGCCAGCGTCTCCTCTCTAACTGCTCGGACATGATCCAAGTGATGTTGAAGACGGTGAACAGAGGTGAAAAATTCGACGAGACAGCCAACCACCCCACGATGATGGGTTTCGACCCAATGGTCAATCAGAGGCTGCTTCCCCCAACATTTCCCCGCTACACGAAGATAAAGCCACGAGTCGAGGCACTGGAGTACATAGACGAATTATTAAACAGATTAAAGACAGTGACAAAGATAACGAGTTGCACTGGCTTCCACAGTGCCCTAGATTTCTTCCTAGAATTCTCGAGAACGAGCCCCTGCATTCTATCAAGATCAATGCTGCAGATTGTTTATTTACCCGGTGGCAATAGAGTCTTCGGGGTCAATACGTTTACAGATTTCTTGAAAGATGCTGCGAGAAATTTCTCAGCACCGCCGGCTCTATTATCCAGAAGTACTCTCCTCCAGAATCATCAAGCCAGAGAGTGTGTCGAGTTATTTTTCTACCACTGTACATCATTATTCGGCAGTTTATTGCAACTGAGTGGGCACAATAGGGCGAGACAGAGGGACAAGTTGGCACATTTGCTCGAGGATTTTGCAACACTTCATGACGAGGCAGAACGCGTTGACCGACATTTGAATACTTTATCACTGAAGAATGACTCGTCACGGTCTCATTTAGCGTGTTTCGGTACATGGATTTTTTATCATACACTCAGAGTTATGGTGATGTATCTGCTGAGTGGATTTGAGTTGGAATTGTACTCGGTCCATGAGTATCATTACATTTACTGGTACCTCTATCAGTTTCTGTATGGATGGCTGGTCTCCGCACTGACTCGTGCTGATTCCTTCCTCATGGAGCAGGACATTCACAGTGAGATGCATAAAGGAAGAGGTGGGAAGAAGAGTGCCAAGAGCAAAAAGAAAAAAATGGCACCGAGGCCCTACAGTTTGGAGATACTCATGTATCAGGTGCTGCAAAATCTCTGTGGGGGGTATTTCAAGGCCCTCGTTGGATTCAGAATGGATGGGAAGATTCATTTTCCAGAGACGCAGTTTGACTCTGAGAGGGTCAGGTATGAGCACAGATTGTTGCCTTTCTCTTCGTTACTCATCCCTCCTGCTGCTGACTATCAGAAATTCCTCGAGCTCACGGACTCTCATGTCGATAGGAAAAACGTAAGTTTTATCACTACCTCATTCATTCTTGATTTTGGAAAATCTTGTAATCGTAATTCTTGTGTGAAATAGGAAGCTGTTACGAGTGAAATGCAGTATTCCTCTGCATGCAGACACTTTCATCGCGCTAAGAACATGTTAGACTGTGCACAAACTCTATGCCAAGACAGGAATGCCACAACCGCTAATGAGGTAATTGTCTGCATTCTTCGAAATTATGACAAGATACAATTTCATGAAATATTTATTTATTGTTTGGTTTTATTTGCAGATTGTCGATCTTCTAAAAGTAACAAAAACAAATTTCATCGTCGTAAAACTCCTGGCCGACGGCCACAAGAGGGACTCCAAAGAACCTCCAGTCTTCGATTTTTCATGTCATCAACATTTTCCACTAATTAAACTCGTATGAAATTAGGTCAAATGAACCACTGACTCCCAATTCATTTAAATTTCAGTAGTTACGGTATATTACATTGAAAGCAAATCTAGTAATTTATTTTTTATGAATTGTGAATGAAACGATTGCGAGGGAGAGAGAGAGATAGAGAGAGATTGACTCACTAGAATTTCAGTCCACTAATACATTTGTTCTCCATAAGAAACCCAATTCCTCGATTTCATAATTTTTTAAAAACCTAGGAAATCGTGTTGAGCGCGAACCAAAAGATGCAGTTTTAAATCGAAAGGAGAAAATTAAACTCTAATGTGAAATAGAAATATAGAGCCATATAAATAATGTAAATCAATACTACAGATCAAACTATAAAAAACATTCAAAAAATTTGTTCAACTTTTTCGTGTGAAGGAGGAAAAAAATCGAAACTGTGAACGAGCAACTCTGCTTATAAAAAAATGGAAAAAAAAATAAGAAGACTGTTGTCAATTTTCTTTGAATAAATAACAGATTATAAACAAAAGCAAAACAAATGGTCATGGAATGAGTCACACTTCCTGTCATTCCCCATCCGTGAAATAACCCTTCCAAATAAAACCCATTAATCCACATAAGCAGAAGAGAAAATGTCTTTGACTGCGGAAGTGAGTGATGGAAGAATGGCAAAACCTTACTTGGGCGGCTGGCGACACAAAATCACTGGGGTGATTTATTTGAATGCAGCATGTCAAACGGGTCCACCGAGCAAAAGCAATCTCGGGAATCTCCGTAGTCGTAGTGCACAGTGTATTGACACTAGAGATGCTACCGACCAGTCAAACACAGACGTGTCAACGCAGATGTGGAGGTGACGATTATATTGTTTCGCGTTTCACTCTACTCGGCAAACAATCCGATATCAAATGCATTGGTTATCGTTGAATTATATTTATTCAGGCCGGATTGTAACATACCCTGCGAGAACGATAGATACATGATAGCGGGACGATACGAATGTCACGAAGAGATGCTGAATAGAATCGATTACGATGGAAAAGCTAGGATCATACAGAGATGTTATCGAGGCTGGAAAATGCTGAAGAACATAAAAGAATGTACCGAGGAATATCGAAGGATCGTGGGTGACTGCAAGAAATTCGAGGAGGAAAGGGATGACCTTTACAGGTACATTTCCTCACGCTCTAAACTCATCAACTGGAGTAAAACATTTTGACCGATTTGCTGATTAGAAAAAGACATCAGATTGAAATTCTTCGTCAACTGTATCCGAAAAATCGTTCCGACTTTGATAAAATCTACAGTCTTATCGAGAGTTGGAAAAATTCACAGTTGAACTTCATAAAAAGAAACTATTTCGAAGCCTCTGGGAAAGCTCAGCACTCTCAAGTGCTGGAGAAAACTGTTGAGATGCTGAAGTCCGTTGAGAAGCAAAGAAAGTCAATTCTTGTAAGGCATCGGGAAGAGAAGTTGGCCAACTTTCTCAACTTCCACTGCAAGCCAGTTAAATGGACTGGATACAAAGGGAAGCCGATAGAGATGATTACACTGAGGACGCAAAAGGCACGGGAATATAAAATTATTCATGATAATTTATGCAGCAGTGATATTACGTTGGAAGAAAGAATTGAAGTTTTGATTTTGTTGAGACGCGGACTGGAGTCGCATAAGTGCGCAGCCTCTCGGGGTCTTACGGATCTCATTGAGCAGGAGATTTCATTGTCATCGAGGGGTATCAAGGAACTTACTCTTGAGAATTTGAAGAAACGAATTTCCCGTAGATATGAAATGATAAAACTTTCCAAGTTCAATGGTGAAGTGGTGAAATGAGTCAGTCGAGTGTATTCTTTGTAAATAACTTCGAATGCGTGGGAGAGGAAAAATTTATCTGCAAATTTCTTTAGTACAGAAAGAAAAGAACTACAAAAATTCTGCTATCTTCGATTCCGAGATAGTGAGCGAAACAGAACTCGAAGCAAAAGTTTATTTCCACCAATTCACCATTTCACTGAAGATTTTATCAATCTTTGTAAATTTTTTCTTCTATTTTCCTCCCTCAAGTGTCTTTCTTACACTTCATTCGCAATTCCCACAATTGCTGTGCCAACGATGCTCAACTCATGGACCTGCAATTATCGGAGCCAGAAGGCGCCGAGAGAATTCTCTGTCGAAGTTGCATGAGATTACTACCCTGCACTCGTTTCATCGCTCACGTGCGAATGAAAAAATTATCCTGTTGTGCTGGTACGTCATTTTCTCTTATGCTCCTCTTAACAAACTCCTCCAGCAAACATAAAATGCATAACTCGCCATAAAATAGGAGTTTACCAACATTATTCTCCATTGAACTGCCGACATTGAATATTTTAAAAATTACGAGGTCACTTTTATATCGTCAGGTTGCCACTGGCTACGACAGCACAGTGTGGAAAAAGTCGACTATGATCCATACACATATCTTTTGAATGGCATTCGTGCGGATGAGCATCGTAGAAATTGCTTCTCAATGCTCCTTTACGTTATTCAAGAGCCAGGAATTTATCACCTCGTGTGCAACATCTGGCATGGTCGATCGATAGTGAGTGAGGTTGACGACATATTTCGGTTGCGACTCGTACGATTTAATGTCCACAAAGAGTGGGCACCCTGGAACTGCATTCTTCTGACCGACGAGGAGAGTGAAGCGCATTATTTCATCGAGGATCTGTCAACTGTTTACTCGAAAATTCTTCTCGATCGAGTTTATCTAGCTCATGAAATAGCGAAAACACATTTTGAGGAGCTGTCAAAATTCGAGGAAACATTACGGACGTCTGAGCGCTATCGAATGATCCACGATTCGATCGATTTCTGATAACTCGAGTAATAAAAGATATGGGTGAATGAGAACATGAATAAAGTCTTAAATCCCTTCAGACTCTGAGGTGCACTTTATGTCAGACAAATCGGCTCTTCTTACGTATATTCCGAACGCCTCATGAGGATCAAATGTTCTAGTTCGGGAAAAGCTCTTTCATGCATAAACCGATCGACCAAACGGTGTAGTTACTACTGGCAACCCCATAAAATCCGTCTTCTCCTCTTCAACTGCTTTCTCGAGACAATTCTATTCCTCGAGAGAGCAGTGTCGCTTCTTCAATCTGTTTCTCTTGCCGCTCTGTGTTGAGTAATTACTGTGATTGTGTTGGTTGACGCAACTGCGGTGTAGCGAACGTACTTTCATCACTCACGATTGGAAGTTTGAAAATGGGTGGTAAATAAATACAACAGAAATGGTGGAAAATCTTGACGGTAAAAAAGGGAATTCTTGATTAAAATTATTCATGTTATAAATACGTGTTTTTTAAAATTTAATTTAATTTAAAATTTAATTCGTGGGTGAAATGGGTTTATCATCTCGCCAATTGGTGTTTTTTTAAGTAAAAAGGAAATTTTTTTTCAAATGAAACTTCTGATTTGAGGAGAGAATTTTCTCTACAAATTCGGAGAAAAAATCGAATTGAGTAATAACATTGAAAAAATATCTCGTGACAAATATTTCCATCCCCAATTATTTGACTTCACAATGATATTTGAAGTTTTCAAAAGAAAGTGAGACGCGCGCTCCTCCGTTGACTTATCTATTATCCAAGTGCCTTCTATCTACGTAACGTCTTCACGTGAGTTCAAACTTTTCCAACTCTGGTAATGCACGAATTGTGGAGAGTAAAAGTTATTCCGCATAGTGCCTGTTATAAGTCCTCTCTTATGCACTTGAGGCTTTTCACTCGGGAGTTTCTGAAATAAACCACCCCCATAATTATACGGAGCTACGGGCTTTTCCTCTCTTACATTCTACTGACGTTATATCGCAGATGTACTTCTCACGTGGATGTAAATCACCCACGCATGAGGCAACCCTCCAGTGTGCGGAATTTTACGCTCACTCTTTTTGCGAGTGAATGGGATTTTATGATGGATGATATTACATTTTGATTTTCTGAAGTCACGAGGGAAATATTTGAAGCCATTTTGAGTGAACTGTGCCGTGATTTTGGGGGTTGTCTGCATTCACTAATTACGTTCTTTCCGAATAAAAAGTGTAATGGGGGATAGCAAATTTTCTATGAACACATTTTTCGAGAGCAAAATCAGAGCTACAAAATTTGACGTAACTAGAACAGGGCGCGCGTATTGTTTTGCATGGATGCCGGAATGGTAACACCTTACCGTTTCTCACTTTCATTAATTTTTATCTCAATAATAATGCAGGAAACATGAATGGTCTAAACAAAGTTTTTTACAATGAGAATTTAATTGTTGAATAATTTATTTGGGATCCTCATAATCCTCTTCATCGTCTGCGTTCCTCTTTTGCTTTATGCGTTCTTTTTCATTTTTAGGGATGTATTATGTACTGTATACATAGATGCTATCCGATATAGATATATTTTTTCATCACGCTGTGACGAAAAGTGAACTTTTCGGCACGCTCCGCGTGCCTAAAAGTCCGATTTCCGCCACATTGTGATGAAAAATATTGTTCGTAACTCGTGAAAAAATGTTTTTTAGCTCGTGGGACTATATCACTCGCCTTCGGCTCGTCATATAAACCTCCCACTCGCCAAAAAACACTTTTTTGCACTCGTTACGAAATATACTATTTTACAGAAATATATATTTTTCTCAATACTACAGTAAGAAACGAATTTCTCATTCTTTACAATTATGTAAACAAAAGATTACAGTACATAAAAAACATACGTAGACATCATATGGCGTTACTTGATAAGTGGAATAGAGGCTTCAAAAATCGTTGCACTGAATTTTTTTAAAGTTGATAAATGCGTTTGGTGACTTTGCAATAAACTGCAGCATGTCCTTTTAAATCTTAAAATTATCAACACCCCATTCCCATTTCGAGAGATAGGGGAGGGTAAGGCAAAACGGACCCCTAGGGCAAAACGAACCACTGATAGAAAATTTGGTAATTTTTGTTTTTGCTTCCGAATGGAGCAAATTCAAAGTCATTTGCGGTTAGAGGTGATTAGCAAATATGATCAAATTGCGGTTTAATGACACTTGTTGTCTATAAAACCCCTGTGACGATTACGATCCAAGAAACTCACTTTTAACTCAACACATTCAGTGTTCTTGATTTGAAAGAAAGAAAAAAAACAAAAATTACCAATTTTCTGTCAATGGCCAGTTGTGCCCTAGAGGTCCGTTTTGCCGCCTCGGTCCGTTTTGCCCTACCCTCCCCTACTCTCATATCCGTCGGCATTAATAAAAAAAACATCAATAGGGAATGTATTTTTGTTTCAATCGGTGCAATGAAATATTCATGATGAATTGAAACGTGTCGAATCAATAACGTGTAATGTATACGAGAATACTGGATGCACGTGCTTGACGTTGGTTTGCATAATAAGCCCGTAATTTAATTCAGTGTTTTAGTCACTTAGTAAAAAAAAAAGTATCAAAATACTGATGAATAATGGATTTTTCACCGAGTGACCAACTTATTGCCCGCAATTCTGATTTTTTTAATGCAGATCATCGAAATTGTTAGAATACAGACGAAATGCAGACGAATGAATGTAATGTGTCCATTTGAATTTCGCCACTGCATGTGAGATTTGAATGTAAATTTTGCGAGTGCACTTTCTATAGCTGCATTACCTATTCCAGCTTGGTTAATAAATCTTGTATAGCCCACCCCTGCCCTGAAAGTGCCATTCCCCGTGGAAGACATCGTTTGAGATTGAAGTGGCATTTCTCAGTACATTCAATCCAGCCGGATGCATCCACAACAACATTACAATATCTAGTTGTGTGGTTTCTCAAGTGGAATGATAATGGTGAGGAGACGTTCTCTATGTTCTGACTATTGAGGCGCATCTCAAGACAATATCACCGAAAAGTTAGTCCCTATGGATCTCCAGAAAAAATTCTGAATGACTTAATTTACTGCATGTTCCTAAGTTACTGAGTTTTACATCCTCATGCGTTGATGAAGGCAATAATGACTGTTTAAATCAAATGAGAAATTAATTGTTAATTAATTTTTTGAATCAAGTAAGAAATAATTTCACGACATTTCTATCTACTGTAAACTAAAAAGAAATTCACTATATTCGGAATTTATCAATCTGCGACGGATTTGGTTTGCATGTCCGCATTTTATTATTTATTATCTCCTAAACTATGTAATAAAACTAGTTAGAATGCTTTTGTGTAGCTAGGGAATATTATAAACATTATCTGTGAAAAACATGGGGACAATCGTAAGAAAATCCTGTGTTCTAGGGATGTACCTCACAGACTGTCTCTTTAAAGGCGAAAAAAGGAGAGTGTCCTTAACCCTAGACTGGTCACCATGCGAGGGAATTGCCGCAACACGTCGTTTTATTCACCTTGCCATCGACTGGTTGACCGGAAAAATTTGAGAAAAATTGAATTCGTCAATTGAAGTATCTGGAAAATTTTAGTATTTTTTTTCAATATTGTATGTTTAACTCTGGGAGAAAAAAAATTATTTCCAACGGGCGAACAATTTTTTCCCGTGTTAAATGAAATTGCCTGTTGCGCGACGTTGCTGGGAACTCGCTAAACGCGCCCAGGAAGTGTAGAGTGGATTCGGCAACGCTGGAGCCTCAATAACACGGCGGCAGTCTCCCGCGAAGGTGACTAAAGTCGCTTTTTCCCGGCAGGTGACCAGACTAGGGTTAAATTAAGAATGGGCCATCCCATAATGAACACTTTTGATTTCATCAGAAATATTCATCACTCGAAAACGACGTAATATTTTCAGAATTCAGAATATCAGAATTTTTCACTCCGGAATTTCAAAAATGATTGATTCACGAAGTTTTTTTCTCCTCTGATGCATAATTCCAATCGGAGAGATGCAAGGGAATGTTCGTTATTTCCAATATACGAATATCTGGGCGCATTCATTGATATTGATTTTGCCCGCCTGCTTTACCAACTGAATCGCGAGTTTGGCCAGATTTTGTATACCCTTTACATTCTTTTGTACCCGCTGATCCATTTGAACCAGGATCATATATTCATTATCTACAACGAGGATTGTTTTGATTCCATGGAATATTCCATGATATTGATGATCACATTTGAGAGTACTACTTCCATTATATATGTGGTTTGCATTATTATGGCCATTGTGTCTGGAATTTCAATGGTGTATTCATCAAATTGTAGGTCAATTAGGGTTGTCATGACCTCTTTTTATTATAGAAAAAAAATGAATCATGGGAGATGGCACGATGAAAAATATGACAATAGAATCACTGCGAAAACTAATGTCTGAATTTCAGACACTATTGTAGACACTTTTCGAACACCTTTGGGACGATTTTGTAGACACTTTTGGGACTTTAAAATGTGTCTGAATCAATGGAGGTATTTTAATTTCAGACACCAAGATGCCTGAAATTAAGATACAGACATGAGTTTCAGACACAAGCGGTGTTTGAAATTTTCAGACATGAGTTAGATTTTCAGACACTTTTAAAGATTCAGACGTTTTTCGCCATCTGCCATCATAAATTCAGATGGTTGTCAGATACCTAGTTTTTGCAGTGGATGAGTCAACTTTTCAGACATGAGAAATATCTTAAAAATTAATGGTTGAATAAACTTTGCCGTCTGAATCAGGTGGAATATCTTAATAGTGAAATGTTTGAATCGCTCATAAATAACTGAATTTCAGACACAGAAAATATCTCAATATGAATACCTGAAATTTTTCAGACACAAAAAATGTCTACCATTATTTTCAGACAGAAATGATTGAACTTTTTAGACATTAGTCAGATTTTCAGAAACTTTTGAAGATTCAGACGTTTTTCACCATCTGCCATCATAAATTAAGATGGTTGTCAGACACCTAGTTTTTGCAGTGGATGAGTCAACTTTTCAGACATGAGAAATATCTTAAAAATTAATGGTTGAATGAACTTTGCCGTCTGAATCAGGTGGAATATCTTAATAGTGAAATGTTTGAATCGCTCATAAATAACTGAATTTCAGACACAAAAAATGTCTACCATTATTTTCAGACAGAAATGATTGAACTTTTTAGACATTAGTCAGATTTTCAGAAACTTTTGAAGATTCAGACGTTTTTTACTATCTGACACCTGGTTTTTGTAGTGATGTCCTGTGAAAGCCTCAACTGGGTATTCTGGCCAATAATTAGACCTAAAATTTACAATTTCAGCATTAACGACAATCTAATACGTATAAAAAATTGATATGTTGTCTTTACGTAATGATTTATCATTCACTACTCAAATAACGGTCTAATAATGAATAGCTCGCGGTGTTTGGCTTATAATCCGACTTACGTTCAACACAATTTATAACATCACCTGCCATTCAATTTCATGTAACTCCCCAGTCCACAGCTAAAAAGTTAGTAAATGGGATTGAAAAGGAAAATGTAATTTTCAGAATGTAAAATATGATAACGGTAATGGAGATTGAAGATCGCACGGAGGATAAAGAATTTCTGGGTGGATGGAAGAACGTAGTAACAGGGAAGGAGTACCATGATAGTGCAACTCAGACAAGCTCGTGGTATCACGTCGATTGTGAGGAGAAGCCCGTTGTCGTTATCACGTCGACGTGCAAGTATACAACGGTATCCCGTGACACAGCTATCCAGACGTATTTTTGGCCGGACTCGGGGGACAAATTACTAACACCATCCTCAGCATCCAGATCTCGCCTTACGAGTGACGAGTTACGACTCAAGGCGAAAGAATTATTTCTCACGAGGAAATTTTCACGGTGCAATTTCATTTTCCTCTCATACTTAACGATTTGAACGAAAAATTTGCGCTCACGGCTTCATTGATTGCAGGTTGGAGGAGGAGAGTGCTATTAAGATTCAAAAGTTCTTCAGGTAATAATCATTGATTGTAAAAAAAACTAGGGACATCAACTTCTCTCTAATTAAAAGTATGACGAGACGAACAAGATTCCAGCGATTTCTCAAATGAATTTCCTCAATCCGGGGTTTTTCTCATACCTTGGAGGGAGTTCTCAATAGAAATGGCTTTCCTATTGTAGAGCTTGTCGAACCAGAACTGAGATTTCATCATTGGCGCGCTTTGCAGTACAAACCCGCACCCATCCACCCGTATCTGGAGAACTAGTTCGCCTGCCCGAAGGTAACAAGTTCGAAATAGTGGAGCATCATGCACCGAAAACCCGTTCAGACTTCGAGATGCTGCGAAACGTCCTAGACCACTGGCGTATCCTGGAGAATGAACGTGTCGATCGGACGCTATTCGATAGTTCCAAAATGGCTGCCAAGACTATGATTCTCCTCCGCGAAATAGAGCTCCTGCGGTCGATAGAGCGGGTCAAAATGCAAGTACGAGATGAGAGGAGAGAGCGCTGTAATCTCGATTACCTGGAGATATTGGCGAGACCCGAAATATGGAGGTAAGGGTATGCATGGGAAAAAGTGATGCTCCATGTTATTTTTTTTTCTATTTCTCTCTCTTTTCACTTCCGCTCAACCCTTCTGGAGGACTCGAGATGGAAAAACTCTGGAGGTGGAGACACTGAGGGTGGCACGAGCACGAGAGTGCAGAGACATGTACCGTGCATTGACTGAGGAGAAGGCTAACCGAATTTCTATGCTCTACACTCTGAAAAAGTACATTCTTGGGCACACTTGCCAGAGTTCTAGGGATCTTGAGTATCTCATCACGCAGGAATTGGATTTTTCCACTAAAAATTTTGATCCCCAAATGATGGTGCAGTTGAGGAAACGGGTTAAACTAGCTTTTTTCAAATTTACATTGGACTGTTGTGAACCCAGAAGACGCAACATAACGTCTGAGGATATGAGAAAGTTCTGTATCAGGTGAGAAAAGAAATCAATTCATAAAGATAGAGAGTTTTTAATTGAAGTGACGAACAGTTTAAAATAGATTATTGAATTATAGTTTCCAATAATATGCATGATCAATTCCCTAGCGAAGAGCTAATGCGGTGTAGGTCTTAAGGGTTTCCTATACTACTTAAACCATATGAATATGAGAAAATTCTGTGTCAGGTGAGAAAAGAAATGAATTCGTAGATCAACCTCGTTGCCGATGAAGATTAATAAAAAGTTTTTAATTAATGGAAAGCTTTTTATTGAGGTTAATAACCGCTTTTAGTTGATACTAATAGAAACCTTCCAATTGAGATGCATAAGGTGCATTCCATCGCGATTCATAGAGTTGTTAATTGAAGTAACGAACAGTTTAAAGGAGATTCTGAGATATACGTTCAAGACGGTTCTAGAACTTCATTATTGAATTACAGTTTCCAATAATACAGATGAATAATTCTGTAGCGAAGAGCTAATGCGGTTTAAGTCTTATCTCATGGGTTTCCTTTACTACTTAAATCAGCCCTACGGGGCTAGCGCACTGCGGTGGTGGGCAGGCTTAGCTTTGGGAAGCTAAGCAGCGCGGTGCGTGGTCACTAGATGGATGGGTGACCGTGAGGGAACACCTCAGGAAAGAAATATTGTTTGGAAAAACTGGAAAGAGCATTTGGGAAAAATAAATATGCGGAAAAAAACGGGATGAAGGAATAAGAAAACGGAAAAAGCGAAAGGTATACGGTGAAATGGAATAAAAATAAATACTACTTAAACCATAAAAATATGAGGATATCAGAAAATTCTGTATCAGGTAAGAAAAAAAATAAATGGGTAAGGAAATCCATAAATAAATTTGGAGAGTAAATCAACGTCGTCGCAGATGAAGATTAATAAAAAATATTCAATTGAAGTAATAAACCGTTTCTAATAGTTCAGATGAATAATTCTGTACCGAAGAGCTAATGCAGTTTAACTCTCATGGGTTTCCTAAACTACTTAAGGGGAGACTACTATGAGTTTTAAAAGTCGTGGGTTATTGGAGTGAGACTTCATACGTTTTATCATTTAAGATCGATTATATAGATCTGAAAACGAATAATTAGTGCAGAAAAAAATTTTTTTTAGTGTTCGTTTGCCCGAAAACGCTTAAAATGCCAAAAACAGTCCAGGGCCTTCAATTTTTGAGCTACGAAGGATTTTTTTTTCAAAATGTTCGGAAAAATATGTGGAATAACAATGATGAGTTAGTTTTTTTTTAAATCGCCTCTTACATGGCTAAATTTGCTTTTTTTGTATTTTTTTTACACAAATAGGGAATTTTTTTATAGGAAACGAACCGAAATCAGCTGTGTAGAAGTCGAATTCCAAAAAACTGGCTCGTAATTGTTGTTCCACATATTTTTTCGAAAATTTTGAAAAAAAAATCCTTCGTAGCTCAAAAATTGAAGGCCCTGGACTGTTTTTGGCATTTTAAGCGTTGTCGGGCAAACGAACAATAAAAAAAATTTTTTTTATTGTTCGTTTGCCCGACAACGCTTAAAATGCCAAAAACAGTCCAGGGCCTTCAATTTTTGAGCTACGAAGGATTTTTTTTTCAAAATGTTCGGAAAAATATGTGGAATACCAATGATGAGTTAGTTTTTTTTAAATCGCCACTTACATGGCTAAATTTGCTTTTTTTGTATTTTTTTTACACAAATAGGGAATTTTTTTATATGAAACGAACCGAAATCAGCTGTGTAGAAGTCGAATTCCAAAAAACTGGCTCGTAATTGTTGTTCCACATATTTTTTCGAAAATTTTGAAAAAAAAAAATCTTTTGTGCCTAAAAAATTGGGGCCCTGGACTGTTTTTAGCATTTTTAGCGTTTTCGGGCAAACGAGCAATAAAAAAAAATTTTTTTGGAACTAATTATTTGTTTTCAGATCTATATCTTCTAGATCTTCAACATATGAAAAGTCTTACTCTAATAATCCACGACTTTTAAAACTCATAGTAGTCTCCCCTTAAGCCGTTTAACCGCTTCGCTACTGAATCATTAAAATATTTTTTCAGATGTGGCAAACTACTACCCTTCGCAATGTTTACCGATGACAGCAAGAAAGCCCTTCTGACCTGCGACAATTGCACAGTAATTAAACCCAGCAAGGATCCAGCAATATTATACGAACCCTACGAACAAATGTTGAAGGACCTTCGCAAATCAGAAGCCCAAATGGGCGCCTCTAATGGCCTTGCTTTTAGAATTGGTCCACGTGTTCTCCATCATCTCGTCAATTCCATCTGGCATGGCAAGTCTGGTATTTCAGAATTTGACGATTTATTCCAATTACGTTTACTACGATTTCAATCGGATCTCGAATGGTCTCCGTGGAATTCAATACTCCTCACCAAGAGGGAAGCCGCCATTCATCAAGCCATGACGAATCCTTGGGAATTGTACGATGCCAGTCTAGTTCAGAGGTTTGTGCTGAGGAATCTACAAGCGAAATTGTGTTTCGATTCGTTATTAAAAGTGAAATAATGTTGAATGGTGAAATGGGAGGGAATAAAAAGCCCCTGGGGCATTGGAAATATCCACGAACGAATCTGAACTCGGAGTGAATGTGTTTTTAAACTAGTGCTAAATGTCAGTGGAAGCTAGACAGTAAACAGGAGGTTCATATTCGCATTTTTTCGAGTCCCCCTCTGTCTGAAAAAAATGTTTGACTCTCCGTCGGAAACCAATTTCATCCGTTTTATCGGTCCGAACAGATTAAAATCTGTTCCACTGATCCATATGGAGCAGGAAAGTTCTAGCGACGCTTGAGATAAATTGAAAAGAATGAAAGTTACAGTGAAATTAGATATTTTTTCTTCGATTTTATGAATTTGTGAAATAAAAACAGATAATTAAAAAATTTCACAATTTTTTTCCCCATTTCCGTCGGGAACCAATTTCATCCGTTTTATCGGTCCGAACAGATTAAAATCTATTCCACTGATCCATATGGAGCAGGAAAGTTCTAGCGACGCTTGAGATAAATTGAAAAGAATGAAAGTTACAGTGAAATTAGATATTTTTTCTTCGATTTTATGAATTTGTGAAATAAAAACAGATAATTAAAAAATTTCACAATTTTTTTCCCCATTTCCGTCGGGAACCAATTTCATCCGTTTTATCGGTCCGAACAGATTAAAATCTATTCCACTGATCCATATGGAGCAGGAAAGTTCTAGCGACGCTTGAGATAAATTGAAAAGAATGAAAGTTCCAGTGAAATTAGATATTTTTTCTTCGATTTTATGAATTTGTGGAATAAAAACAGATAATTAAAAAATTTCACAATTTTTTTCCCCATTTCCATTTACATTAAAATAAATTGCTGGCAACGCCGTGAGGGTGAATAATTTTGCTAATTCGAGATTCTTTTCTCCTGCGTTAGCAGTGGGCAAGCAACTAATTAACGAAATTGCAACATACGTCCGAAATATTCTACCCTAATAGTAGGGGAGGCAATAGCCGCCCAATCTGCGTTCAAATGCAAAAGGTAGAAAATAGCCTTGCAGCTATCTCTGTGTTCACCAAGGTGGAGAATAGGTAAGTGGAGGGACAGCACTGAACAGAAGCTCCTCAAAGTGAGAAGATATCTTGCCCCTGTCTGCCGGAAATTGAACCAGTCACGTCAGAGCACCGAATTCGCCGCAGGAAGTCGACTGTGGGCCAATCAGACGACCAGCCACAGCATATCCGATTGCAGCATCTCCCCTGTGGTCGAACACCGAACGCCCAGAGCAATAAAAACGTTGAAAAAAAATTGAGAAAATATTGCCCTTGCCACTTGAGGGCGAAATAAGAAGTTGCCCCCGAACTACCCAATTGTAGTACCGCAGAAATGGCCAGTAGGTGGAAAGTCTCTTCAAATCGAGTCTAAGAAAGTTGGGGTGAAACTAGACTCGACCAAACGCTGTAACGAGATAAGTTGTTGGGCGACGATACTTGGGAGGTGTTTGGGATTATATACATCGGAATAGTCCGTTCCCCGAACTCCCAGAACCCCAGTTCGGCTTCATTTTTTCAGTTTAACTTCATTTAATCAAATATTTTTCTTATTCATTTTATTTTTAACGAAATTCGCAAGTCCGAGAACACCAACTGGCCATCGCCCGACGGCCTTCAGCGTGGCATTGACGAGGTTGGGTATAAGCATTGGTAAACAGAGTGGATATGTAATTATATGCGGAGAGAAAAGTTCAGTAAAAAGTACTAGAAAATCGTGGCAATTTTATATGTTGAATTTTGAAAAATGCTTTTTGCGGAGGATATCGTACTATTCGTTCCATAAAAAAACACATCTATGGATTTTTTTCTGGCTTCGAAAGTGAAATTTTACCGTACCGCGTTTGGTAAACAATATCGTTCTCCTTCACAGAAAAATTCCTCCGCATATGTGAATGATTGCTTCATATTGCGTATGGAATAATTTCTGATAGCATGAATGGTAACTTTTAAAGAAAAAAAACCTCGAAATGAAGTCTCCCGATCACATGGCTTGTTTAGTAACTTTTTTCTCCGCGATCAAATATTTCTCTTGTGTATTTTAATTTTAACGAAATTCGTTGCAAGTTCGAGAACTCGCAACTGGCCGTCGCCTGACGGACTTCCGCTGGGTATTTACAAGGTTGTATATAAGCATTAGTAAACAGAGTGGATACGTAATTATAAGCGGAGAGAAAAGTTGAATAAAAAGTACTAGAAAATCGTGGCAAATTTTCCATGGTAAAAAAATAATAATAATGGTAAAGATCGGGGTAAATTTTACATGTTGAATTTGAAAAAAATGCTTTTTGCGGAGGATATTGTACTATTCGTTCCATAAAAAAAATACATCTATGGATTTTTTTCTGGCTTCGAAAGTGAAATTTTACAGTACCGCGTTTGGTAAACAATATCGTTCTTCTTCACAGAAAAATTCCGCCGCATATGTGAATGATTGCTTCATATTGCGTATGGATTATTTGCTGATAGCATGAATGGTAAATTTTCAAGAAAAAAAATCTAGAAATGCAGTCTCCTGATTACATGGCTTGTTTGGTAATTTACCTCCAACTTTTTTCTCCGCGATTAAATATTTCTCTTGTGTATTTTAATTTTAACGAAATTCGTTGCAAGTTCGAGAACTAGCAACTGGCCATCGCCGGACTTCCGCTGGGTATTTACAATGTTGTTTAAAAGCACTGGTAATTAGAGTGGGTATGCAATTACAGGTTTACAGAAAGAAGATGATGTATTATTTTTCTTATTACTTTCCGCATGTAGTAAATAGCGGACGTTACTTAATTTCTAGTTTCTGGTTCGAAGAAAGTTGAAAAAGGGTTTCCGAGGATATTGGAATGGTCAAGGCTTGATTGCGAGTTAATTGGCGCCAGAGTCACCGGGGTTCCGTGAACCGTAGGGGTCAACCGCTGCTAACTTCGCCGGAGCCTTTTTAATCCCCTTACCAGCATGTTTGTCTCCATTAAACTGTTCTCAAAACTGTTCTCAGTTTGATTATTCTTGTTTCACGGCTTTTGAAAAATAAAATAATAAAACCAGATATAAATGAAAATGAAAACAAGATAAATAATACCCGAGTGAATATTGCCAGAGCTCTATTTACGCGTTCTGGTGGAGTTGAAAAGGGATGAAAAATAAAATAATGTTGGAAAAAAAAAGTTTATGCACTCGTTGGTAGACAACAGCACGCAGTAGCCATAAATAGTGACGCACTCGCCACGGGACAATCCGTAACGCGGCGATAAATTACGTCGTGGCCACATTATACCGTCGTTGCGGTCATTTATGACCAGAGCCCATGCTGCCAGGATTTTTTTTAAGCATCCTCGCGCACAACCCCTCATGACTACCTCGCCCTATCTCCCTATCCACCCCCCGCCCGCCCCTTCACCGCTTCCTGTTTGTGTTGTGGAATAACTCCGTTTATGGACGAACTGGAGGAAAATATTTTTTTTTTTCAGCAACAACAATTTATGGGACAGTCTGTCTTCGCCATTTGCCATTCAACCTTGTCCGTGTTATTATCTTCATTTCGAAGGGATTCACTGGTTGGTAATTGTGAGATAATGCATACATTGTTTGTGAATAGAAACACAAATTTTTTGGATTGAAAAATATTGGTGGTGATATTTATGGGGCAAAAAAAAATTTCTTCTCTACGTAAAGAATGTTAATCTTAATTTAACCATCATTCTTTGTTAACAATTTTTAGCTTAAATTTCCGGTACAGTTTTTGGAAATTTTGATCATGTTTTAGTTTCACTGAAATTTCCAGGAATTTCGTCATTGAAAATTGAGAATTTTGGGAATGCTAATTCAATTATTCCCTGAAAATTAATGGAAATAAGGAAAACTCTGGTAATCATATCATAAGTTTTCAATCAATTGACGCTGAATATTCATGATTTTATCACAAATTCAAACAGCTCGAGGAATTCTAATTTCAATGCTGTTAAAAAGATCAGCATTTCATAGAATTTTTAATGAAATCTGAACCTCCACCATTTTTCCCCATTAAATCGCATGCAATCTCACTTTCCCGAAAAATACTAGTGGCCTGTCCACGAACTTTTAATGTATTTCTAGCAGTGTTGGACCCTCAGCAAGTATTTATGTCAACTTCAAATATATTTTCCCGTTGAAAAAACAAATTACTCACGTACAGGGGATTTCCGCTGATTCCCTCTGGGCATTACTCGCAATCAAGGTCCCGTAATTGCGATTTTCCAGTTTGGTTGAATTTACTGTGCCCCCTCCAAAAGTCCAAAACTTTGGATTTTAGAGGTGGAAGCTGAGCAGGCTGCCGGCGTCTCAGGTTTCGGGTGGAGACCGTGGGGGCGCAAATGCTGTTCACTGAAAACAGAATGGTTGGTGAGGGTATGGAGATGCCTTGTAAACCGATTATCCCGCGTGACTCGTCGTACGAGGGTGCATAACGAATTCTCCGTGGTTCGTTCGTTCCCTGGGCTCGCTTGAGAATAATAATAAAGATGCCACTGTACGACACGAGGCGCGCGCTGGTTACGGAAAAGTATAATAAAGGATAAAATGGAGAATGGGTGGTTATTAAAGTGTTTCAGTCTACCGCCCGTTTGCATCGAAATAGGCCTCCAACGATCCCTAACTTTGTGAAATAGGATACACAATGGTTAGTTGATTACACACTTCTCTGAGCGAATTTATATATCGTCGTTTCTTATGACGCCTCCCGGTAATTTTCCCATTATCTCTCACTCCCAACTTGCCCAGAATTTCTTTATTATAAAATACGCTCCAAAATACCTGAAACACGGAGGTACGTCCGGAATTCAACGCATTCAACGTAATAACAAAAGTCTTTTTCTTTATTTTCGTTACATACCTCGAGCTCCGTGCAATAATAAAAAAGAGGTGAGGAACCCGAGGTGGGAAAACTTATCAACTATTAAACTCATAGGAACTCTTGAAACTTATTATATTACGATTTTTCTCGGTTTAACCGGATAAAC